TATCTGATACTCTCTTGGGTTTGGGCTTGGGCTTGATCAACTTATGTCTCGGATTCAAGGGGTATCACAAAATTGCTCAGTAGGTGGTGCCTAAGACACACCTCTTGTGACCCCGTGAATCCAAACAATGAAGAGGAAAAATAGAGAACGAGATCATGCTATGTCGGTAAACAATTTCATGTCCCACAAGTCTAACATTAACAATACAACATGCCTTGTAAGAAAAATTACTAGAAATACTTATCATACTTCCATTTTACGAAATATAGCAATTTAAACACAATAGACATGAAATACCATCTCTTAAGCATACTTTTTCATACTATTTCAACTAACACATAGTCACATGCATCATATATAACAATTAGGTCATTTTGCAAAGAATTAACACAAATTAAGCATACTAAACAACAAATTAGACATGTATTTTCATGATACATCAATTAACTCATGGCCACACACTTCATATATAACAATTAAACTATTTTGCAAGAAACTTACATAAATTAAGCATACTATACAACAAATTATGGAGACAACTCACAAAAGCCAAAGAATTCATGGCTTAGAAACCCCTACCTCAACCAATTGAAGAAAGCCCCAAATCATGCCCAATTTTCGAAATCCCTAGGGTGGCCAAAAATATGATTAGCTTCAATCAACGCATATGTAACGACCCGAACCCGAGGGTCCGAATCGCTAACTGGGTCCTTATCCGAACCCAAGTTCAACTAAGGACACTATCGTCCTTTTCTATTCGATACATAAAAATAATAATAATTATTATTATTATTATTATAATAATGATAATGATGGGATCATAGCTATAAAATATGTCAAAACAGTCCACTAACCCGTCAAAACCTATGAAGGAGCGTCATCCACCACTTCCCTTCTGTATCCTAAAAAATGTTAATAATGAGGTGAACTTAAGCTCAGTAGGAAGTGTCTAAGACACACCTCTTATGACCCCGTGAATCTACGTATAGAATAGAAGACAAGAGAACGGGATCTTATTATACCGGGGATTTAAACCATAACCACAACATCCAATATAAACACAAATATCATTCAAGTCATAAATTCATCATGTATGCCGATGAAGTGCAATGTTATGCTCATGTCGCCCCCCATTTTCGAAACATTTCCATTTTAACTCCTAAATCGTTAGTGTAATCCGACCCAAAGCACCTCCAAGACGTCACGAGGGAAGGGTTGGCTAGTTTTCCCCAACCACATGGCACCTCCATGGCGTCGTCTAGGTAGCTCAACCACATTAGAGTCTCTCTCTAACCCCCTCTAGATCACACTAACACTACGGACCACTAGGAGCCTCCTAGGCATCCTATTTTCACAAACACTTTCGAAAACGTTTGTCCAAAACAATTTCATTGATTTTAAAAAAAAAATTACTTTTCCCTTCTTCTTTTTTCTTTACCAATGGATGCATGAATGCTTCATGCTTCACAATTTACCATAATTTTCACATCATTAAACTTTAACAACATTTCATAATAAAGAAGAATTTTCTCACGAATTTATAGTATGCTTTAAATCAACAAAATTTCTACAATTACACATATTACACAAAGACATAATCACAAAAGTATGCTTTCCATGTCCAATCAACAAATCATACGCACATATATTATTTACACATAATACACATAGAGATACATATTATATATCTAGCATCATGACAATTTTTCAAGAAAAATTTACAATAAATCACATACATTCCATCTACATCACGATCACATTATTAAGGGAAAATCCTAATTTTTATTTTCATAATTTCAACATTACTTTTCTTAATAATTAAAAATCATGGGGCATCCAAAATGTAAATACTAAATATGTATGTTCACCACCAAGTATATAATCATAATCATAGGTTCAATTAACACATATAATACATCTATCACCTTAATTACATACAACCATAACAACATAGGTAAAATTGTTAAAATCAAACATGCTTAGAATCAAATTAAAGGGGAAAATTCACAAAAGATCAAAGATAACATGAATTAGAGCACCCCTACCTCACTTAGATGCAAAAATCCCTAAATGGGTCCAAAATTTTGAAATTCCTAAGGTTGGCCAAATGAGGAATTGCTTACATCAATGCGTAGATCTCGCTGTGCTCTCCATGTTGCCACAAATGGCACAAAAAATCTCCAAAAGGTTAGGCTTAAATCAAGCTTTGAAGATAGAAGAAAGAAAAAAGAAAAGAAAAAAAAACCATCAGGGAAAGAGAGAGGAGTCACGTAGAGAGAGAAAATAGGTCAACAAATGACCCCTTGGTCATTTGTAATGGCCTAAAAAAAATGAGGTGGGTCCCAATGGCCACTAAAAATCTTTTCCTTTAATATATATATATAAATCACAAACATTACAATCTGCCCTCCTTAAAAGATTTTGTCCTTGAAATCTACCTTCCTTAAAGAAGGAAGCCCACAGTAACATACCTTCCCGAAAACACCTCACAAAACCCCAAAATCATGAACTCACCAACATTATTGTCTTTGACACCTAACGTCACCAGACAATCACACACCACTGCCACAAAAGCACAATGTTCACCACCCTATAAGAGTACTCATTACTCACGACATAAGAACACAAGACCAACTAGGCCCTACATCCAACTCTCAATGGACATCAGTCCACTCTACACTGCTACGCAAGACTTCGAAGCCCGAAAGAAGAACGGTCTCTAGACCACCGAATATGACAATATCCAATCTCAACTCCTCCCTAAAAAGACACACAAAACTCCAGACAAAGAACCCCGTTCATCTCACAATCAAGTTCAACTCTAATCTACACATCTCTGTCAGACCGAACACTCACTACCTAACACTTAACTACACCATTACATACCCGTACAACGACTATCAACCACACCAAGCAACAATCACTAAACTTATCATCCTCAAGATGACTATACAACAAATCTCCCAACGACTGCATAATCATGAGTCATAAGAGCAATAAAACGTACTATACTGTACCTAGAACCCAAATCCTCAAAACAAGATCTTCAATAATAAATGATCATACCGCAAACCCTTTACCAAACACTTGTTACTACCTAACACACTCCATCACCCAAAACAAACCATCCGAATCCACACTGTCACACCGACACAACGCGTAATACCGTGCCCTCATTATCCTTGACAAATTAAAACAATTATTGACCTTTGACCCTACATCGTGCTAAGAGGAGTCACACAGACAGAGAAAATGGGTCAACAAATGACCCATTGGTCATTTGTAATGGCCTAAAAAAAATAAGGTGGGTCCCAATGGCCACTAAAAATCTTTTCCTTTAACGTAAATACATATATATATATATATATTTATATAAATCACAAACATTATAGCGTAGATCTCAACGAGCTCTCTGTTTTACTGCAAATGACATCCAAAAATTCCCACCGGTTAAAAAGTAATCAAAGATTAAAATTTGAGATGAAAAGAAAAAGAAAAAGAGAAGGGAAGGAGAGAAAAGAGAAAGCTGTCGGGGAGAGAGTGTGAGAATTGAGGCCAAAATGGCCTCTTGGCCACTAGAATAAAGAAGTGATGGGTCCCACCACCACAAAATATCTTTTCTTTTTTATTTTCCACCACTAAATATATACATAAGTGTATACTAAATTACAACTACACAAATAACACATTGCCATTAAATTATGCATGAAATGAAATGGACTTGTGACACCACACTCGTGCACAACAATTCCGGTAACGGATCCCACTTGGGACCGTCCGGCACGAAAAGCGAAAAAATGCCGAAATGACAACTTTTGCATTTCTAAGAGTACTGAACTTAAAGAAATGCCCCAACCAACTCTCGGACACACCTGACACACCCCACGCTGTCTGGTACGCAAAACGAGAAAAGACAAAATTGCCCCCAAAGAATTCAGAAAATTTTCGAAAAATGGAAAATGGTAAAAATTGAAAACATTACATGTTGTGCTACATTTGGCACAAGATTTGGTAAAGTTATATTTTGACAACCCATTGAAGAGCCCATTTTAAACTCACCTGCTATATTTTGAAATTGGCAACTCATTTGGCACACCATTGGAGTTGCTCAATCTACCCAATAAGTGGTGGAGCCACATTACGACCAGTGGGACCAATAGAATTTTTATTTATTTGTACTTTTACTTATAAGATTTGATAATTCTAAAATTACCTCAACAAAATTTTAAAATATTTATTAAAGACCTTAATAAAAAGGTGCGAAAATTAAAAAGATCTCTCATTCTTTAAATCATTTGATAAATATAGCTATTCCTTATCGGACCACCTTGCCTACCCGGGGATAGAGCCGGACGCCCTTCGGACCGGCCGCTTGGCGTGAAAATGGATTAAGGTAGCTTTGATACCAACTGTAACAGGTGAGCGCTTGCCCATTTACCCAAAAGCTCAAGCACTGGGTAGTGCTACATACCCACTTATTTATACACACTTCAACCCCCATTCAAATATGATGTCGGACAAATTCCACTTATAACACCTATGGTATAGACGCGGACAGAATTTAAGTTTTATGGGAATCCCTGTTACCCTCTAAAAGGTACACTACTTAACAACGAGGAGTTCTCATATGGATAAACCTCGATTTCTCAGATGAGTTCAGAAGCTGATGAGATACCTTGCTGATTCCAGTATCAGTTTCAACAAAATTGCATTGCTAGTAATATAAATTTTGCAGCATTTTTAGGATAGAATTTGTCCGAATAAAGAATATAGAAATTCACAACACTCTACATAGACATCTGCAGACTTCATGTTGTAGTTATAAATAAAATTTTGAGTAAGCAGCGCAACAATGATCCTACAGGAGTTCAAGTCATTGATTCAGTTGTTTTGATTAATTTGAAGCGAGTCCCATTGAAACAATTGGTCGGGTACATGCAATAACATTATCAATGTTGTGAATAAGAATGACTATATATGCACGATGAATTCAGATACAATAGACAAAAATAAAAATGAAACTTTATTGCCGACAAATGATTGCCAAATAAGGCCAGTCCGAAAAGAAAAAAAAAAAAAAAAAATACATTTGACCAAGAAAAAAACAAGTGACTTGCTTGAACCTATATAAATCCCAGTGGAAGCAATTTGTATCCAACAAATGGGACATGATGACGGCTATTTATATAGGAAAAAATGAATTAATGGTGTATCCTCCTAAAGGCATTTCTAAGTAGTTACCTAAAAAAATCATGTTTTACAAGTATCCAATAATGTAAAATTTGATTTGCACTCTCTAAGGATCTAATTCCTGGCGCGAACAAGGGGTGAAGCCATGGGGGAGTGAGGGGACATCATATGCGGCGCCATGAACATAGGAGAATGAGGGGACATCATGTGCTGTGCCATTAATTTATCATCCAACCTTCGGAATGAGAAGTTGACTTTAAGTTTGCTTAGCATCTTAGGTGCTTCCTCCACTTGCTTGCTTTCAAGCACAAACTTCCTTATCCTTCTTAGTGATGCTTTCACGGTTTCATCATCCATGTTTGCGAAACAAACTCTGAACCAACCGGGCTCTGAGCAATGGAAAGAAGAGCCAGGCGAAACATTGAGCTTAACTTCATTGATTATCAAGCGCCAAAGTTTCATCTCTGCTTCAACAGTTGGCTCTTGGAGGAGTCTTCTCAGGTCCATCCAAAAGAAGAGCCCGGCATTGCTATTCAAACTACCAATGCCTACTTCAGCTAGCCCCTCTGTGAAGGCCTCATGCCTTTTGCGTAGCCTCTCTGCACTCTCAGCGATGAATTCCTCAACAAAATCGTCATCCTGGAGCATTGATGCAATCAGGTGTTGGGTTTGTGTGGAAACAAGTCCAAAACTTGACATCTTCCGAGCACAATTAACAACTGCATCGTTGTATGAGTACACAACACCAACCCTGAAGCCGGGGAAGCCCAAATCTTTCGACAGACTATAGACAATGTGAATAAGATCGCGATTGCATTTCAAGTCTTCCTCTATTATCTCAGCAACGCTAATGAAGCCAGGCTGGCGGAAGACTGTGGCAGCATATATCTCATCAGCGACTAGGTGGATGTTTTTCTCATTGATGAAGCTCACTATATCTCTCAATGTCTCTCTGTCTAAGATAGTCCCCAATGGGTTTGAAGGGTTGGTTATGAGCAAGCCCTTTACTCTGATGTTGTCCTGTTTGGCTTTCTGATATGCCACTTCCAAGGCTCTTTTTGTGACCTTGAAGTTGTTAGAGCTCTTGCATTCAACCGGAACAAGTTGCAGCCCTGTTCGCCATCTCAAATCTCGATCAAATCTGCAATGAAACCCCAACTCTTTTGAGTCTATTTGGAAGCAAAAAAAAATGAGAAAAACTAAAAATGAAATCTACTTGTTTCTGTATTGTTAGCTCGAAAAATTATTGTCATAGGCCTAATTTTGTACATTGCTGGATATATTCGCCATAACTTGATCTAGGTATTAATTTTTTGCATCAGTTTAAAGTCCAAAGAAAAATTGAATCTGAAGAGATGCCAATTCTGAATAGTCCAAGGAAGAAGAGGGTTCTAACTCAAATTGCAGAAGTTGAAGGTGGTCCTCATTTTCGTCAAGTAGTTTTCAGCCACCATCACATCACAAATGGTACCAAGTACCAAGTGGTGATAAAAGGGTTTCCATTAGAGGACCAGCTTACTTTTCTCTAGGAAAAGGCCTTGTTGTCAATGGCTAGTACCACCAATAATTCAACTTAAACCAAGGGATTTGATGTTGAGATTGGAAATGTCTAGGTAGGATGGTTATGATGTATGATTGTAATTGACCACATCCATGCACTGGCTAGGAGAATTTTTTATTCATCAGAGATTTTTATTACTCTCTCTCTCTGAGAGGGAGAGAATACATCTAATGAATATACAGGTGAAGAAAAAATATTTAATTTTAAGAATAGAACTACCTAATCTACATTATTTTATCTTCTTATTAATGGCCAAAGCACCAAAATAAGAAAGGAAAATAAAAAATAGAATGATGTATTACCCTGGATAATATGGTGTGGGTACCAAAAAAGCATCACCAGGATCAGCCAAACAGAAGGCCATGGTTTCATGAGCTCCGGTTGCTCCACCACTCATAACAATGCGGTCAGGGTCGAATGTCACTGTGTCTCCTCTTACTTTTCCCATAAACTTCGCAATTGCCTGTAAATTAACATCCCTAATATCAATAACAATCATAATACTATATGGTGGTAGATCATATATACATTGAGCTACAAGATTCTTAAGTTTATATATACATACATTTCGGAATTCTGGCAAGCCATGATAATCCTGATATATAGCAATGTCCTTGAAGTCGTTGGCTCCTTCAACCGTACAGATTGAGGCTTTGGGATTATTCACGATCCACCTTTGAATCCAATCAAAGGAAAGCTGCAAAATAACCAAAAACCAGATAAGTAATCGACTCGTATATATGTATGAGCATTATAAGATGGGATGTGTGTTTTTAGAATAGAAATACTACATGTTAATAACTATATATGTTAAATTGTTACCTGGTTTTCTGCAAGACCCATCTGAATAACTCCAAGAGGATTGCGAGTAGGATGATATGGATCACTGTCGTACGCTTTCCATCCATCAAAGTATGGAGAGTCTTCACCATGCCCACCGTTGGTTGCAATTTTGGACAACAGGTTCTTTTGCTTGCTCAAAAGTGATACCATATTTTGTTCTAAGCTCTGCAAGTTAAGATTGAGAAGGCAGAATTTGTAGGAGGGAAAGGACTAGTCTTAATTGCGAAAAAATGTTTGTGTTATGCTTGGTAATGCACCAGGATAGAAAACTGAAATTTGGGTACTTCTTATTGAATAAAATGTTAAACTTATATAGCATTTTCTGCAGAGAATAAGAGGGTAGGGATGAAGGTTCTGAGAAGAAACCACCTATGATCTTCCTTTGAAAATTTTATCTAATTCTGGTGGGCAACTTTGAACTTAATTATATATTTTTAAAACATATTTACAAATTACAAGTGGGGTACCTTATACTATAACGAAGCAAACTATTATTCCCACTTGTCCACATTCATATATTCATATATATATATGTATTAACAACATTATCATAAATATATTTACCATAGCAAAATAAAAGTAATATCATTATTCATCAAGGGATCCCCTGATCACACGAAGGAGGACTTCTGTTCCAAATCATGTGAAAACAATTGTATTAATTCTGTTTATGATTACTTGTTTTTGACAATGTGTGTAATTCATGAAAAAAAAAAAAAAAAAAAAAAAATTGTGATTAAATTTACTAATGTTTCGAGTAAAAATCTAATAACAGCTGTCTTGTTAGACATTAAATTGAAAAAACAGTGAAACACCCGACCAAACACTGATATTCATTCTTCTCATAAGTTCAACCTGCAGTAAGTCTAGAATATTCAACCCCTTGGACCAGTCTTGAATAGCACAGCGAAGACTTTCACCAAACAAAAGTCTGATACTGATACTGATACGGTATACACGCGACGATAATCTTTGACTGCATAGCTTCTTTCTCATTTTTAGAACTTAAAGTCAAAAAGACAGGTTACATGATAAATGTTTTTAGTAATGTAGCTCATTTAATGTTTTAAGAGAATGTTACTTGGGGAACACGGAGTATGATCTTTCATTTCAAAAGCATAACCACAAATTCTACTTTGGGCATGCCATGTGCCCATGCCTTAGGCTGCCTTTTTCATACCTACATTAATTTTGGGATGAGATCCAAAATTCTTAGTCAAATTCATATAATAAACACCATCTCTATCAACCTAAAAATTGTTTTGATATCCTGGGTAGGATCAAATATTTAAACACTTGGTATTTTGACTCGAAATTTTGTTCTCAATCACAATCAAAATCGATGTGTGTTTTGTTTATTCCTTTCTCGTTTCACAAATACAACGTGCAATATAATATCTCTATTTTCAAAATGAAAAGTGAAAGGTCACATGTTTTATGGTTTGAATCATCCCACCAATGAGATTGAAAAGTGAAATCTGAGAATCCCATATTCTTTTCATGAGATTTTGTTGTACATTTATGTAACATGTGATACCATGAGTTTTTGCCTGATTCCAGGAGAGTGTGAACCCATTTAGATATGAACAAAAAAAACATGATAATTGTTGCATAGAATTATAAGAAGGTATACACATCCATATTTTCCAATGAGTATGTATTTGAATCTTAGGTCTCAGCTTTCGGTCAATCATGTGGGGTGGCTCTTATGCTTCAGTATCACTTTTTTTATGTAAGCCAGAAACATTCAAGCCTTCAAGAGTGTCTTAATAAGCAACCCCCTTGTCTGGTTGGTTATTTTCCACTTTTAATGGAAATTTGGTTTTTTGTCAAAAGTCATAGATGGGAATTCTGACACGTGGCGGTTGAAATTTCTACCTTGAATCTCAGTTACCAAATAAAAAACAAAAACAAACTCTGACCTTCCCTTTGAATAATTAAGTTTAAGAATAAGGATCCTATCCACTTTGAATTGGACCTAACCACTTCTAAGATTTCCACTTTTCACCCTAGATGAATTTTTTTTTTTATTTAAAAAAAATAAAATAAAATAAAAATAAAAACACTCTGATTTTCCCTATCAAAGTTAGGACGGGTTAGTTGACTCAAGCTGTTGTTACAAAATTACCATTTTACCTTCAAATTTAAAATCTCAATGTTAATGTCTAGATGATGCAATCAATAAATTTTCTCAGAAGTGCTGCACCACCTCACCCTTGAGAATCTTACCACTCACAATGAATACTCTTTCTATTTATCTTAGAAAATAAAGAAAATTTATTAAGAGGGCCATCACGTGACAACATATTCTTCTTTTCTTTCTTTTTTTCATAAAGACTTTTTTGCATCAGTTATATTGCGTCATCCGTGATATTAACCAATTATATCTTATCGCATAAATTAAAGTGTATACTTTAGTGGGTCGAGAAGAACAAGATTGAACACCAACACTTCATAGAGACATGTCTGATATTTATGACTTTGTTCATAATTAAAAAATATTATTTTATTATTTCGGATGCTGCCCAGACACATGGTCAATGCATCCTAAACGCTTGACCAACATATTCTACGCTCTTTATTTATGCAAAATAAAAACATGACAGTCCTCGAAACACCATTATGAACATGCATGAGTGCCTAACTTATTAATTGTTAAGAAAAATTGACACTAAACACATGTCACATAATATGTAATGAAAAAAATATAACTCTAATAACATGAAAAAAAGAGTAATACCATGTAAGTATAATATAATATATATATTTTTTATATTCGAATAGCTTCATCTTTTAACTCATGTATATTTAGTATATAAATTATAAATCAATCAAAATTTTATAATTGTCTTAATCAATAAATATATAAAAGAAATTTATACTTATATTAGTGGTGTCCATATATCCCGTATCCAATTTTTAAATATTTATATTAATTGTGTCTATATCAATATTGGTATCGTAATTTTTTTAAAATTTGAAGTGTTAACGTATTTATGTATGGTTATCATGTCCGGTATCCGTGTCGGTGACAATCATGGCATGTAGCATCCAATTTATAGCATACGGCTAAACCAACCCCTGTATACGGTTGAACTTCAAACACTGAAGGGTATTGGCTTTTGGTCAAGGAAGTGGGTGGCTCTTGATGGGGGTCATGGAGTATGACTTTCTATGTCAGCTACTAGAATCATTCAAGTCCCCCTAAGTACCATAAAAATCTCCATTTTTTCGTCAAAAGTCATACAGTGGAATGGAAATTCCTGACACATGGGCGTCGAAATTTGATTCCTTGCACAAACTTTAATACTCTAGACGAAGGACCACGATGACAATTTTTGGGTTCACAACAATTTGGATTTGAATTAAGGCAGCTAATGAGCAAAACTAATAGTATTAGTATATGCCACTACCTGATGATGGCTGAAGAATGAATTTTTAAGTGATTAATATAAAGAGTTGGAATTTTGTTTACGACTTATTGACAAGTCGACAAACGTGATGCGGCTTTCATGCCCTAGTCTAATTATGATGGATGATAAAATTTGTACAACAATATATTTTATGTTTACAATGGGCATACCCTAGGGCCCAAACAAAAAGGCCCATAAGCCCAACAGGCAGCAAAGAACAAGGAGAAAAGTGCAAAAAAAACCCCTGTACTATTAAAAAACTTGCAACTAACCCCCTAAACTATCAAAATTGCAGAAAACCCCTTGAACTATACAATTTTTTTGCAGATCACTCCATCCATCACTGTTCCGGTAGGATCCGTCACTGTTCCGGATGGGCCTTACCATTAAAGTGACGACAATGACCATAATACCCTTGTAATCTTGAAAAGACACTAAAGCCCCTTATTATTATAACAATTAAACCCAAACACAATTTAAACACCCCCAAACACATCCTTATGTCTCTCTCTCTCTATATACACAATTAAACACTTACAAATTACTGTTTATCTTCTCCGCAAGATGGAAAAAAAAAAAAAAAAAATCACGTTCAGTGTAGAAATTTATTTGTGTTCGTTGTGGAACTAAACAAAATCAGAATTGGGACTGAAATTTGAAGACTAAAAAAAATGAAAGATTTTTCAGAGGACGCTGACACCGAAGAAGAAACAATTGCAGGCTGGAGAAGAATGAATTCTTATGTTTTCTCAATTGACCTTTATTTTGATCAAACCGTAAAGAAACATATATATCGCTTGTGATAGCCACTAATTGCTTTCTCTGTACATGAATTTCTATTTCATCGATCAAAGATGGGTTTACCCAAAAACATCTCCGCTCGGATTCGGTCATATGGGTTTGGCTTTTCTCAAATTAAAATCTAATTTTAAGTGGTTTGTGATTTTTCAATTTCAGCAAAGGCGTATTAAGATTCTCTCTCAAAAATCCCTGGCGAACTATCGTCGTCTCCGGCGACTGCCTTGTACTGAAATCGACGTGAAGTTAATGGCGGCGGTGGTGTCAATTAAATTTACAAAATTCTCAACTTCAGCACCGTTAAGGGTTTGAATTTTGGGGTTCTTGGAATTTGTTCTCGGATGATGATGATGCGATGAAGATTTGGATGTCAGAGGCGGAGTTCTTGGAGGAATTGGCGGCATGGGGCGGCGGAGACGGCTATGTAGAGGAGGCGCGGTTCGCCGTGGTTAAGAGGTGATGGCGGAGGATGTGGTTGAGGAGAAGTGGTGGCGGCGGCTGTGGTTGAGGAGAAATGGTGGCGGTATAAGGAAGTAGATGATGGCGCCGACGGTGATACTCAGTGACTAGCACAACGATGATGACGGCGGCTTGCGATGAAGCGCAGCTGTGCACTGGTAAGACAGATCCAGTGATGGGCTGTGGAGAGCTCTGTTTCTCTCTTCCAACTCACACAATCAATCACAGAAAAAATCCAAAAAAACACAGAAGAAAGATAGAGCCCACCGGAAGAGTTTCGGTTGCCGGAGAGTCCCCAACGCCCTTTGATTCTTTACCGTCCTTGATAGGCGCGTAACGCGTTTGTACCCATGACGAACGTAGTGCCAACGCCGTCAATCCAACCCAACCCTTTCTCCTCATCGGACGCCGCCACCGCGTACGTTCTCTCCCGACTCCTTCATCGCCTCCCACCCAATCTTTCCCTCCCTACTCCCCACCCACCACCACCACCACCACCACCCACCACCTCTCCTCCCCTCATCTCTCTCTCCGATCAAATCTTCTCTCTGCTTCTTCTCAACTCGGTTTCTTCCAACTCACCCACCACTCAATACCCTCCCAACTCGCTCACTCAGCCGAATTCGATTCACTCTCTCTCTCTCTCTTCAACCTCCCTCACGATCAGAAACAGCCCCAAAAACTGGCCCTTCGGCTATGGCCCCTCATTTATGTTTAGGGCAAAATTGTCTTTTCCATTTTCCGGTCATCAGCAGGTGACCCATGTCCCTGATTGCAACAAATTGTTAGTTCAAGGGGGTTTTTTGTAGTTCAGGGGGTTTCTTGCAAAATGGCAATAGTCTAGGGGGGTTTTTTGCACTTTTCTAAAGAACAAGGGAGCTCAGAACCAAAAATATATGTGTGTGTGTGTGTATATATATATATATTACACAGACCCGAGCAAACTAACAGAAAAAGCTGTCACAAAAGGCTAAACAAAGGCAAGCAAAAAAAGCAAATCTAAGGCAAACCACCAAAACCTGGAAACCAGAGGCCAAGAAGGAAGAAGGGAAGGCACCCCAGCACCAGATTAGGAGTTGAACACATGGATATATATATATTTACTAGAAGCTTGAGCATCAAAGAAAGTGTTGGAAAGCTTCCAAATCTAGCAATATCCACAAACATTGGGCTAGCATAGAGACCACATTTATGCTGAACAGAGAGCCAAATCCAAGAAGAAAATTGACAATGGGTAAAGATATGGTCATGAGACTCGGCATTATAAATGCACAAAACACAAACATCGGGCTGCACCAGAAAATTAAGACTAGGTCTATCCTTAGTGGCAAGCTTCTCTTATTTTGCCTAGTGACTGCCTTAATTAAACTGTCCCGATTTCTAAATTTGCAACTCCGCAACAAATCATGTCAGTTTAGGATAATTCAGTTAATATCATGCAAACCAAACTCAATCAATTCCTAACCACCAAATTATAGACAGCATACATATACAAGTAAGAACACACACACACACAAATTGTTTTAAGTGAAAAGACAGTGAATTCCAACTGCAAGGACAATTTATTCCAACTATGAATACCAGGGAGCAGGATTGCTGTGCGCACTAAACCACCAACTGCAGTTTTTCAATTGTCAACTATAAGTAATAATATACAATGATCTCATAGAATAAAATTTTGTCACTGTGGAATTACATTTTGAAAATAGAACCTGCTTTCACTTCCTCATAAGAAGAACCACGGTGTGTGCTGCAATACTCCTATTTTCTCCAAGGCTGTCGACCTTCTCGTGAGTTTTTGCTTTCAGGTTCACAACAGAGAGGTCTGCACCAAGCAGCTTAGACAAATTAGCACGGATAGCCTCCTTGTGGGGACTCAGCTTCGGTCTCTGAAGAATCAAAGTGGCGTCTAAGTTTCCTAGCTCATAACCTGCCTCATGCATCAGCCTCACCTGAAGACCCACGCGTAGAGGATAAATTAGATTACAAAAACATTGCAACTGCCAAAAAAGAGTTCTCTATTACCTTCTTCCACATTCCAAAAAAAAAAAAGATACCAAACCAAATATCCATTACCATATTAGGATATACAAACAATCTTTATCAACAAACTTGAGTAAACCATGAATGACAGCATTAGAATGTGAGTATAAAATATGAAAATAAATGGATTAAGTAAAAAAAAAGAAGAAGAAGAAGAAGAAGAGAGAGAGAGAGAGAGAGAGAATGGCCACATTTCAAAGGTATGTTCCTTTACCACATTCCTGTTTAAACATAAATTTGGTTGATTAGAAGCAATCTAAAGCAATAAATTTCTAATGATACTGTAGGCATCTGTTTTGGTAAAACACATAGCAGTGGACTCAGTCTAGACACGTCAGCATTTGGGAATCCTATGTGGCGACATTGGAAGGGAGAGTGAGATCTTAAACAACCCTATTCCCACCTTTGTAAAGGGTTTCCATGTGCTTGGCTTCCAAGGAACCACAACCACAGCTGCTATAGTTCCTCGAGAATCAGATCGAGTCCTGAGAACCATTTCCAGGATGCCTCACCCCTGGTCTTTAAGGGAGTCTCTCATACCTTAAGACCATGACAAATCCATAAGGTTTGATCTTATTATTTGAACTTATATTATGTCTCATGAAATGTACTTCTTCGCAGGCATTAACTCTGGATTTCTTCCAAAGAGCCTCACCTACATGCAAACCTTAGAAAGGAACTCCGCGGAAACAAGGCGCATCACACAGCCCAGGGTGGCAGAGCCTAGGAGGCTTGTGTAAGTCCCATCAGGGTGGTAATGGGAGCTTAGGAATGTTTTGGCTTGGTGGCTGGAGTTCAGGATGCCGAAGTGTTCTTGCCCCTTTCCGGAGAAGGTATTCCTCGAGTCAGACCCAAGGAAACGTTAGAGACCACTAGTTCCACAAGAACATCCCCGAACCCTACCCTACTTTGAATGCCACATTGTCTACTTCATGGATAGTTCCACAGAGTATGACTTGCCCATCCCTCAAACCGCTCCTCGGATTTAGCAGTTAGCACTCCATTCTCCTTTAACCCTTCCACGAAAGGTGGCCTTCCCCGTTCCTTAGATCATTCCTCAGATTCAACCTTCTTTCAGCACCTTCGACACAACCTCCTCCAGCTCCTTGGATGCAACTACTTGGAAGCCTCATCTCTAGTTGTACAATCACATTAAATGTGATGGCAACTCCATGCCAGCAAGTCTGCCAATATTTAATGAACTAAATCATTACTTTGACCTCATGATTACCCCCAATGAATTGACCTCATATACCCTTGACCCTATACACTACTAAACTCTGAAAAATGACCATTTTTCCCACCATTTTACCACTATGAATAGGACCCTCCTCCCTTCATTTACTCAACTCTCAACAGCCACATTACTAATGCATTAATATTCTCTGTGTAAATTCACACTTTCTCTCTCTAGAACTAACAACACCACCCCACCCGCCCCCCCACCCCCTCCTCTCCTTCTCTCTTTCTCTCAATTACATTTCCAAGGTTTCAGGGGTCCTACTGGCACTTCCTGGGTTCATCTTCCAGGGCCCTGGACCAGCTTTGCGGAGAGTCATGGTTGGCCTCACAATTGACCCTTCGAACACTCTGAACCAAGGGAGCATTCAATAATTTGAACCCTCATACCTAGAATCATCCAGGAACTCGAGGATCTACCCCTTTGCTGCCCAATCTCACCTCTCCTTGGGCTTCGCTGGACTTCCACCTAGGCCACATCATTCTTCGACCCTTGTACATTCAAGTCACTCCTCATTGGCAACAAAAAACCCACAGATACTCGTATCGAGGATGGAAAAAATATGACTTGTTCAAATAATTTTCTGAAAAACTAACTCTTTAGATAATATAGAACACTAAGTGATTATTCACTAATTAGATACTATGACATCTCAATGCCAAGTTTGTCACTTGTTCTGCAATCTCTATACACCTGCTATAATCAAAGTATATGCTAGTACCAGAATGTCACTGGGTTTGCTCAATCCCCACATGGACAGACCATTAATATCCCAAGTGACGGCAATATTTTTCTCTCATAGGAGATGAGACAGGTGGCAATAATGATATCCTTGCATCACATTTATACTGATAACAGAAAAAAGAAAATGCTTCTATACTCTTTTCTCTTCTGTAAATTTAACCACATACAAGCAGATTCTACAAAAATCCCTAAATTACTGAAAAAGCTAGGCAGTAGGTCAGCTAATTGTCCAAATCTTTCATACAGAAGAAAGTTGTTCTTGGATATCCTATTAGTGCTCTATTTGAGCGCAGAAAAAATAGTAGATATGAAAAGAAGCTAACTACATGTAATGGGACTCGGTGCAAATTCAAATTTTGATCTTACACAATCATACTCTAAGTTCTTGATCAACTTTTTAAACGAAAGCTATTCATTATGATTGACAATTTATTTTATAATCCTAGTAGATAAATCACCAAAACATAGTTTCTTTTCTTATGCCTTGAATTAAGTTTATGTAACGAATGGAGTTCATTTGAGACTCTCAAATATCCGTGGTCTTAAGATTGACCATGAGCAGAAACAATGCGCTTTATCCAAGCCACTGTGAAGAATTTAACCCCAAATGGACCAGTTCAACCTTTTTTTGGACTTGTTCATCTTTAGCAGTGAGTTCCTGCTATTTTAGAGTTGAATACTAATATGGTAACTCCTTGTAAGCAAGTTGGGGGAGCAAGGAAGCTTTTGTCTTCCAAGGGTTAGGTCAAAAGTTGTGTGGAAGGCGGGTAGAATCAAGGTCTAAGGCAAGCAACAATGGTGGCTTTATAGAGAGAAGATGAAGATGAAGAACAATCTCTAGGTTTCCCAATTTTACTATATTCCGTTTTTTCTTAGCATTCCTCTCAGCTCCCTCATCTTATTTCATATCAACCAGACAGAACCCTATTTCCAATATTATATCTAAATCCCTCTAAAATTTTTAGGAGACCATTTCTCTCCTGGAACAAACACTAGAAAGCCATTCTTCTAAAAATATTCATATAAACCATATAATGTTGTTGACTAACACATCCTATAAGTGGTTAGTCAATGGGCCAATAATTCTCCTCTGAGAAATCAAAGCAAGCGAATAAAACCACCTATAAATCTCCCATCATCATCTTGAACTTCCGAGTCTTCGGAAGAGAGATCGTATCAAGTTTGAGAACCAGCTGCCTCATCTGGTTGGGCAGCTTAACGAATAAGTGGTAGTGTGGTACAGAGGCGAGATGCTCTCTGTGCTTTCCCGCTTGCGCCTAAGCTAACCTCAAAGAGTTGGCATCATATATCCATCTCACCCGTCCACGACCAGACCAGGTATGTTGTCATAGTGAATACTCTTCTCTACCGTGAAGTGATTATCATACCCAATTAGCCGTAGCCGCCTTATACATAAAAAGAAAGAACAAACAAGCAAACAAAATATATGGACGCATAGGCTGCATTCCATTTCCATAAAATCTAAAACAAGGAAAAATAAACAAAGCTGTAATTAAGAGACAGAACCAATAAAAAGAAAGAACAAACAAGCAAACAAAATATATGGTTTTATTGATTTCTTTAGAAAAATACACGTGATTTCTATTTTAAAAAAAGCTTTATAATATATTTCAGTGTATACCTTGTATGACCTTTTGAATTTATACATCAGTTAAATAAGGAATCAAAAACTAAAATTATTGTAAAATGTGAGATACTGAAAAGTAAAAGTTGGGAGTATAAATATACACCAGTTTGAGTCTTTGATTCTTACAGACTGTAGTATAAGGTACTAAGTTAGCATATGAGCATACACAGCATTAGTTTAGGAAAATATATATATATATATAGCATACACAGCATTAAAATTGTCTCATGGCCATATAAGCAAATTCTTTACCACTAACAAGACTTAGGATAAAGTAAGAAAAATTTTCAATGTTTGTGAATATCTCAGTGAAGGTCCATCTAAAGAACTATTAATATCTTGGATAAAATCTTCTTCCCCTCAAATACAGGTACTTCAAACTTCTAGAAGGGTGCCCTAGATGGATTCAGTTAAATCAGCAGCAGATGAGAAGCATGTCAAGTAAACAGGAAATTTGATAAGAAAATTAAGATAATCACTCCAAAAACCATCATGCTTTAGGCTACTCATTTTACTATTCCATTTCCAAAACAGTGCAAAGCTTGCCAGTGAGGGTATTGGCTTTAATTCTATAACATTCATTTATCTTCCTTAGTTGGCATTCACAGCAAAGATGCAACTCTTCTTTGAGGTTGAGTAAATATTGAAGACTACTAGAGGAAGATTTTTTTTTTTTTTCTTTTAATAAAAAAAGGACCTTAAAACACCTAGCTAATAATTGTTAAGTACTAGACCTGAACAAGCACTACAATTAAACTCTTGACAATTCATATAGAAATAGTCGGTCATAGTGCTTGACAAGGACAGACAAACAGCAGGTTCATATGAGTGAGGATACATAGCTCTGAAATGAATTTCCTATCATTGCTTTTGGCAGTTGAATTGATTCTAGTTATTATATCAACAACAAACTTTCATTCCATAATTTGGAATAGTCCTCGAAAATAATTGTTTCATGAATTCTCAACTCAGAATTACTGCACTCAACTTTGAATACCATGATTTACAAAGCAATAACAGCTAACCTAAATACAAAAACATAAAATTGACCATCTGTTATATGACCAACCATTATTTTTACAAAGTACCCAAAATTAAATCAAAATAAGGTAAGACTGAATCATCAGTGTTCAATACTGAGATCTAAACAATCAAAAACCAAGCCAGTAACAAAACTCACAGCTTCTTTGATGAAAACAGAAGATGCAGCCCCTTTCCATTTAGGATCAGTATCGGGGAAGATCTGTCCTATATCAGGAAGCCCTAAAGCTCCCAAAATTGCATCAACAACACAATGAAGCAACACATCACCTGCAACCACAATTACCCAACAACGTCAAAATTCAACACATACACACACATACATATAGTGACTAGAATTTTAATTTACCATCGGAGTGAGCCTCGCAGCCTCTATCGTGAGGGATATCGATGCCGCCGATGATGAGGGGGTACCCAGGTTCCAATCTGTGGAGGTCGAAGCCGTGGCCGACCCGGAAAGGCAGGGACTTGGAAGGAGTGGCGGCGGTGGCTTGCGGCTCTACTTCTATGGCGGCAGTGGTGGAGGCTGCCGTAATCGGAGATGATCTGGGTGTTGCTCGGAGAGATAGAGAAGGCGATGAGAGGAGAGTGAGATGGGTGCGAGGAAAGAGTGAAGGAGGAGGAGGAGAGAGAGAGATTGGGTTCGTGGATGTTTTGACTGAAATTGGAGGTGTGTAGTAGAGAGAAGTGGCCATGGCCATTTGGGACAATTTGGGTCTTTCAATGTTTGGAAGCTACTTCTGTAGTTGCAGAGCTCTCTCTCTCTCTCTCTTCTGCAGACTTGGTATTGAATATTGGAGGGATGAGCAAAGCGAGTACGCTCGTGGAACACGGGGGTTTGCATATATGTGACCTGGATGGACGCGTGTCGCTATATGGATAACTCGGCCCACGTTAAACATATGCCTAATATCCGTTAATTATAAATAAATAAATAAAAATAGACCAAAACATTTCTAATCCATAAAAAAAAAAAAAAAAAAAGTAATTTTAATTGACAAAGAGTTATTGTTAAACGTTATTAATTGGAGTTAACAAAAATTTGACTATCATTACTCTTTTATTTTTATTATTATGAAGATATATGTTCTGTGTCTGTGAAAATATAAAGAGCAATATAATTAAAAGATTATTAAGGTAAGTGAACTAATTTTTCATATTTTTCAAATACCGACATAAAATAACAGTAGTAGATTCAAAAACCAAACGGTGAACCAATTCTTCATATATTAATATTAATATTTAATCCTGGTAGTAGGTTAAAAAATGAAAAAACGAAGAGTTGTTAGACTAGTTCTGTGAGGAAAAATTAGGAGAAAAGAAAAATTGTAACATATTGCCATTTACCAAGAAGGTATTCCCTTAACAAAGTTCCATTTATACGTTCAAACAATTCTTTTCTTTATATTATTAAGCAGAAACTTGCTTGAGTTTTTTTTTTTTTCCTTTTTTTTTTGCCCTTTCTCTTATAGAGATTATTACCTTCCATTTGCTAAATAGTGAATTATTGTTCATGATTAGTTAGCATTGGGCTTATTAATGGTTTTTAAGATTTGAGAATTGGATCAAAGGATTTTGAGATTTTTCGTTTTTTTTTTTCTTTCTTAGTTGGAACACCCATGTCTGTTCTGAGACTTGAAGATCCTTGACCTCTCTTTGAAAATTAAGAGGCAACTGATCCGTTATTGATTTTCCACATTTCAATAAATAATAATAATAATAAATAAGAAAATAAGATCTTGTCTGAATGAAATACAAAGATTTTTTTTCTTTTTTTTTTTCTGACCGCAAGAAGAGCAAATCCTGAAAATAACAATACAAAGTTAGAGAAAGTGAAAAAATATAAATAAATAGATAAACTGTTGGTATTGCGAATGTGAGCTAACTTAGCTAATGAGGCATTTTGGTACATAATGTACATAGCAATCCTATTAAGAGCTTTGAGCATCATCTTTATCTCCAATATCTGAGTGCATATTTCAAAGGAAAATACGTGTGTGTGTGTGTGTGTGTGTGTGTGTGTGTGTGTGTGTGTGTATTTCTAGTATTTGAAAAAATTTACAGCATCGCAATGTCAACAATGGTATTAGCCACTAGCCAGAGGAGGAAGAGAGCTGCTTAGTCATCGAAGAAGCATTAAAGCTGTCATCCACAAACAAAATCAACGCCAAATGTCAATGCTTCTCGCAATATCAACCATAGCATTTCTCAACATTAACCTTCTTCAGGTTGCCATCCACAACCAAATTCAACACCCCATTATCAATATTTCCCCAAAGCCCTTTAATGATCTCTCAACAGCTTCAATCGCATCCATTTTACCCAATGTGATCTGTAAAACTTATACTAAATAATTTTTTACCTTACACAAAAGCATTAAAATTTAAACATTAGATTATAATATACGGGAAATCAAATCCACAAATCACTAGAATGCTTGCTCGTGCCACCTAAGGGCATCAAAATATGAATGTGCTACAAAGGTGCACTAGGTGCTCAACCTAGCTAGTTCAGGCATAGGACTCGAACAATTTAATCACGAGGAAAATGCATTTTGCATGCCATTAATCGATCACCACGCACATTTAAAAGAATTCCAAGCTAGAATTACTTCTCAGATACTTAACAATCTGAATACCAGCACACACCAAGTAAACCATGCTATGCAATGAAACAATTGGGCTGCAGCTGGATTTACCAACTTTATTTAATCAAGTGTACATATGCAAAATGTACATATCTAAGTTTACAACAAATAAACAAAAAAATTCTTATCAACTTGTAGCAAACAGACAGATCTGTGATATGATGATTAGAATATTTACATGGACATGCAGAAAAACTCCAAGACCAGCAACAACAAAAAGGCTCAGCGGGGAGGAGTATCTGAAGCAGAAGCCCTAGGATGCTTGTATCCATGCTCTGGTGTCAGATGTTCGGAGGCAGCTCTCTTCTGTCTCAACTGCAAACAAAAAAGTTGTCAGAAGCAAAAAGGGAAAAGCTCTATTTATCTCTATATTGTAGTCTGTGTGCTTTCTCATGAGCAGGTCCGTTACATAATGAACTCTAACCTTCTCTTCAGCATGATGATAGAAATGTCTCAGAAGTATATTTTTGCTTTCCGAAGATATCACTGCCAAAAAGGTTCCAAGACAGGTCAATTACACATGATGAGACTATAATTGCTAGGCAACAGGCAAATTTATGAAATAGACATACACCAACCTAATGATTAAGAAGGCAAACTCATCTATAAGAATGATTAAGATGAATTACTATTAATTAGGTTTTAAATTAGCACAAGAAGTTCCGACCTTCTTGTTCACATAGAAGCTAGAGAAGAGAGAGAATGTGTGTGTTTGACTTGTGTTGCATCCATGGAATAGTGCACTGCACCTAGGAGTTCTTAAAAGGTTTATTCAGCAATTAGTTACAATTCTATACCCAAAAAAAAAAAAAATCTCACCACAGGGATAATGAAAGAACAAAGTGATACAATGTATGATAAATTTGGGACTAAAAGCCTTGTTAGGTTGCCTTCCCCAATTTAGTCTCAAGTATTTATTCTCTGGAGGCAAATACCTAGGGAATGGCATCAACTTTTGGAGGGCACTTTTAGGGCCTCAAGAACCATTTCAAAACCAAACAAAAATTCTTGTTCAGAAACTATTAATAAACATACACCAATAGAATATCAGATTACAAGAACATTCATTAATATTTAAATCTAAAATGTTTTAGAAGTTTCAATTCAGATAAAAACTTCAACTTTGTATTCATGACTAACAGCAATATAAAATAGTTAGATTTGTAAAAGCAATTTAAGTTCTAAAAAGAATTACATATATGCAATATAAATCATTTGATGAAATGAACAAAAAAGGTTTATCTCCATTACCTTGATTAGGTGGTGGAACAGTCCGATCGTGGGTAGGATGATAAGTGACCGGCATCATCTTCTAAACACCACACAGAATTATCACTTAGAATAAAGACAATGCACATTAGATATATCTTTACTCTTTTGTATCAAATCATAAATGGAACAGAAAGTGATGTACTTCTAAGCTTGAGAAAGTGAACAAGCAAAGTGACAACTGATAGCGTAACTTCATGCTCTCAAAATACTTGTTGATGGATGCCTAACACCCTCAAAGGAGACATTACACTGGGTTTACAGTAAAAATAGGTAGTTATTCATTTACATCTAGAGTACTCGAAACGAATTGCAATAGCATACTATAGTCTAGACACAACGCTTGTATGCAGACACATTCTTTGTTGCTTTTGCATAAAATTCCTGGACTGTGAAGTTAATGAGTTCTCTATCAAGGGACTCAAAAACTTTATAATCATATGGGAAAGCTCTAATTATAAGAAAGTTTCTTTCAATTATCCAATTATGCTTTCCAATAGCACTGAACTGCTTCAGTTGGTGAAGTCTACCTCACCAAGATAAACACAAACCCAGCTAACTAACATTGTTGTTGACATCCACCAAAATCTCTATATATAAACAGTTTCATAAAGTTTACAAGTGAACATAAAAGCAATTCTAAGTGTGCATATACACACCAGTATATAGTTTGGTTGGCCTTTTTGTCTGCAAACTATTTTTACCTAAAAAATGGTGGGTGTAAATAGCAAAGCATAAACATATTATATAAAACTTAAGGAAGCATTAATAGAGATTCTGCGACAACATTTAAAATCAAAATATTGCAAGTTAGATATAAATTTGATATGTAGTGCGTACATTACAACAAATACAGACTTGCTAAGTTAAGGGAGAGGAAAAATAGAGATCAAATAGCTGGGGAAAGGCGTTGTTGAGTTGATTTGAGTACAGTACAACAAATGTGTTGTTGAGGCTGAGTACATAAAGAATACCATTCACTATGGAACCTTAAAGTTCCATACCAGCATTACATAGAAGTTGAAATGAACATATATATCAAATAAAGTTCAAGAAGAAAAAAAGATACAACAGCAACAATAATGTAATGTAATACAAGTATATAACGGCATAGTCCATTCTGTGTGGTGTTAATGCCCCATCATCAACCAGTAAGCACTTATTGTGTCTACCTATATAACACATGATACTGATAGAATCTCAGCCAATGTTTTCTTCAGTTCATGGTGGTATGAAATGGTGGTAGCTACATCTCCCATCCTAATGCATAGGGTAAAAATTAAAGAGTTGACAAGAAGGCTAAAGAAAATCTCAAAGGCAAAATGGTCGGACAAGAGGCTACAAGCATATCCAATCTATTGTGGCATATTGCCTGATATAACCTGAGATATATCATGATCATATCACAATATCAATGGCATATTCACGATATCATGTGATTTTAAAGTTGCATTCAAGTATTGCTTAGCAGTGGATCGGTTTTCAATATACCGACAGATATATCACAAATATCAATAATATTTAACTACAGGTTTCATGCTCCACTTTCTCCTATTGTCATGAGCAAAGTCCGTCGAAGCATTAATGTTCATCTAATTAAATTAACTTTTCATCAATATTTGTCGAATTCAACGGTATCCCATACATTGCATGGGAAAAAATGCTAGTTATAAGCACTACATACTTTAGTTTTGTGTTTTTTTCGAAAGGTAGTTTAGTATGTTGTTGCTTTAATGCGTGATCTCATTCATTTATGATATTTTGTCGATTCTCTTCTTAGGTGGTTATTTGGCCTTGTCTTCTGTGTACTTGCATATTGTATTGTCTTCTTTAATTCCTAGTTGCATTGCTAAAAATGGAATCACATTCACATAGTGAGACTTCAGATGCTGAAGCAGAAACTTGTAAGAAAAAGTTATCATCAACAAACCATTAAATTCTATAAAGGATATATTACTTACATGTTTGTCCACTCTCTAAATGAGAAAAATGATAAACTTCATGCAAACATTTCAAGCAAGCATATGCCGCGCAAGCACGCGCGCGCGCGCACACACACACACGCACAAATAAATAAATAAATAAATATAAATATAAATAAAATAAAATAAAATATCCTTCTACAAGTAGAAGAAAAGGGACCACCGGTGTCCAGGGTGTGGTATTCAACACAGAGTAAAATTCACTTGAATAATAATATTAGGGAAAATATTGCAAACAGTGTAGCATACAAAATTAGGTTTATTTACAGAACTCTATGCCCTTCCCTATTCTCCTCGGTCTGGGATGTGATCATTTGATAAATGTTGTTGGGTTCATTCCTTAATATCTAAAATTTTTGTTGGGTTCATTCCTTAATGTCATAAACTTTTTAAAAAATTGGTAGTCTAACATAATACCATTGCTTTGGCCTGCAAGGTCTAGGGTTAAAGTATTTAAATCTGTTCCCATGTTGTCTTTGAATTTGTACACCATTCTGTTTGTCTGTCTGCCTCTCCACATTCGAGACTCAATCACATGCAATGATGGATTTGAGTGCTCGATATACATTGGCGGGACCAATCCTAAACAACGTAATCATTTGGAGCAATTGTAGACTAACAATGAACAATGTCGCGCGTAACAATAGGGGAGAGAGCTTGATATATATTGGTGGGCCAATTCCTTTACAGCTTTATCATTTGAAGAATTTGATAGTCTAACACTAAAAACAAACACGTGAGTAGCAGTAAAGTCTAAAACTATAATTTGAAGTCCATATTAGGGTTGCCAATCATCCGAGCATGGATAAATTATGCCATTTAAAAATCCTTTCAAATTCAATAGTGGTAAACCAAAACACGGAAATTCATCATTATGAAATGCCAAAAAGGGTAAAAAAAAAACACATAATAAGGGCAGTGCTATCTTGATTTCTAACTTCCAGAACTCCACTTTGTGATTTGTGAATGTATATGGAAGTTATAATAAAATGAGTTAGGAGCATGGGAAGCTTAAAGCGGATAGCAAATAGCATGCTATCCTAAATCATGATTTAAGGTTGTGTTCAGATATTAGAATGGATCACCATTAAATCATCACCTTCAATTTTTTGAGATGCAATTGAAGCCAGATTTTTTTTCCCTAAAAAAGAAAGTTCTACTTGCTTCCACTTTTAAGTTGAGATGGAAATTTTTCTTGCCAAATCTGAGAATTTTTTATTCTATCATGATTCACTTTATTCCTAGATTTCTCTCTTCCCTTTTCTCTCACTTTGCATTTAAAAATTATACAAACAAGTCACACCAGTTTCATTGTGAGAAATTGTGGCCAGAATTTTGATTCGGCCCAGGTCACAATGGCTATAAGCGGAACCTCATAAATCTTTCTGTATTGTGTGGTGCATGGTTAATTTATCTATCGTCATTGATCGGATATGATTTACAGTGTATCATTCACTGAACAAATAAAACAACTAATAACTCTTAACATTTAGACCTTTGATAACACTATGACCCAATTTCAGAAACTACAAGATTACACATTATAATTGCTATAATTCTAAATAAATAAATAAATTCAAGGTAAGACAACAAGGATACATACGAGTATACTAAGTAAACCCTAATAGTATACCAGATAAAATAAAAATAAAAAAGTGTCAGCATTTCACAACTCAACTCAACTCAACAAAGCCCATTCTCAAGTGCATCTGACAAATTCTCAAACCGATATACAAACAATTAACAATTGAGCAAAAACAACTTCATCGATCATACAAAATCAAAACTTTCCATTTAAATCAAGACCAAATTTTGGCGTCATTACGATTAAGAAGTACTTACAGAAGGATTTGAAGGATCGGAAGGTCGAAGTTGGCTGAAGTTGTGAGGATCAAAGGAAGGCCAGTCACCAAGCATAGAACCCATTATCGGAAAAAATTGTGTTTTCGATAGAAGAATCTAGAGAGAGAGAGAGAGAGAGCGCAATGCCGCTGTTCGAGAGTTGCAAAGATAGGTGGCAAGTGGAGTTGGCAAGCACTATTTATAATGTGGACTTGGACTCCTTACAGTGGTAATAGGAAATTTAGGAAAAACACTGCAAGTTTATCTATTGTCAGACAACTTTCTAATATCAGACTCTTTTTTTTTTTTTTTTTCTTATTCTTTGTATTCATATATATAATTATAAACTGAAAAATATATATGTTAATTATATAATTTTTTTTTCTAAATATTAACTCCTATCAATCATTCTTAGACTGATAATTGGACTAATAAGATTATATTGAGTTTCGAGGAAGAAAAACTATTTAAAAGTTCTATATTTGTATTTAGTTTTTACAATTTAGTTTCTGGATGGATTGTTTTGGTTTTGGTGTTTCAGAAGAATTAATTAACATAATTTTTTTCTTTTTTTCTTTTTGCTAGGCCAGGGACACTGTGCCCAAAATAGTAGCCTTATTAAAAATGTTTATGAACAAAATGCAAACAACAAATATTTATATGAATGAGCTAAAAAAAATATATAATTTTATAATAGTCCTCTTACTTATAGTAAAGCTATCTATTTTCAATACCAAATTCTTGTGTGTGTATACATATATATAATATTTTGGTGAGATAAAAGAGAGATAAAAATCTCAAAAGAAAAAATAAATTCCCTTATTTAGCCATGTGTTATTTTCATATGCTTTTACATTGAATACATTCCTTATTCCCCTCTTTTAAAAAAATGGAATCCACGTGCGAGCCCGTGGCTCATTTTGAATAACGAAAGCCTCCACCAAAAATTTTAGTTTTATTTTTATTTTAAAAATATAATATTAAGTTTAAAACTATTCGTACGTTACAAAAATTATTTTTTAAATAGAAGTCTACAACTAGCTTAAATTGCATTTTATCAGTCTCATTTTCTTTCAGATTGGGATAATTTGATTGGAGAAAGAGAAACTTAAAAAATAAAATTAAATAACTTCTTCATTAAAAACTCCTTCATCTAATAAGAAAGGTTGACCAACAAGTTGACTTATCAATTGAATTTTAAAGGCTGCATCTTTATTTTCATTCTATATATATATATATATATATATATATATATATATAAAAGAATATTGGCAAGGAAATCACACTCATGTTCCCTTCATAAAAAAAACTTAAACCATTGATGTCTTATTTTTAAAAAGTGAAAAAGTATTATTGTACTACATATTAACAGTTAAAACCCGTTATTCAAGTGATAATTATGATGCATAATATTTTTTTGGGAGGCATTCCAATTTTATACAATTATACTCCAATTTTAAAAGAAATAACAATTTTAACCTTAACTTTAAAAATTAATTATTATTATTTTTAATTATCTCAACTACCCTTTTCGATTATGGTAAGATCTTTATATTTCCCCATATTAATAATTTTTTGTATCCTGTATTTTTTTTGTTAACCCCTCCTTTTCTTTTGCTTCCTGCCTTTCTAAACTTTTTGGCCCTGTTTGGGTGGGCTTCCTCTAGGCTCAAAACGGGCTTCCAAACCCAGGAAGCCCTTTGCCAATTATAATGAGTGTTTGGTAAAAATTTTGAAACAAATTTTTTAAAATATTTAATGGTTTAGAAGCCCATTTGAAAGAACTTAGGAAAACCTACTTTCAAATTCACAAGTGCAACACTTTTTTAGTAAAATCTCTATCTTGTCCATTATTTAAACCTATTTTTTAATTCAATTGCCAAATTATTTTTTTCTCTGAATCCATCATGCCACTTGTTCTCCTTCCATACGCCATCTGAATTTTCAATCATATCCATCTGTTCGGTTGGTTCTCTTCTCATATCTCGTCTGTATTTTTTACACGATCTGACTCATATCCTCCTTTGACGCCTAAATTTACAAATCTCTATTGAAAGGAGTAAACTACATGTTACTACTCACGATCCTCTTCAATTAGCAAAAGAGGCAACTGCAAATGGTATTTATGAGATGGGTAAAATTGTCAAACAAAAATTTATTTAATAGTAAAATGACTTTTTAAAAGTATACTAACCAAACAACTTTTTATTGTAAATTCTTTTTTGCAAAATTCCTTGTTGAAATGAATTATCAACAAAAAGACTTCTGGTGTTGAGAAGCTCCCCGAACAATTTTGTATTAACTTTTTTTCCTATTTTTTTATTAGGATTTGATATTGATTTTTGTAAATAACAATGAAAGATTTCACAAATAAACAAGTAACAGAGTTGAACGACATAATTGATCTTGTTGGCGAAAAAACATTGAAAATCTATAAAACTTCTTGAACCATTAATTTCCTTTAATGATAATAGTGATGGAAATGGTAATTTGTATCTTTTATTTTTCTTTTCTATTTTATGCTTTGAGTTGACGTTTGGAATTTTTTTAATTAATATGAAATTTATTTGAATATTTAAGTTTAACCTATACTTGTTGATAAATAAAATCCTAACTCTTTTGACAATAAAATTACAAGACTAGGGATTTTTGTGAAAAAAAAATAAGAGAGATATACTATTATATAGAACTATGACATGGTATAATTAATTTTAAATTATCTACAAGGAACTATTTTAAATTTAGAGAAAGGCATTGTTTAGTAAATATAAATATTTGTAATTGAATTAATAATTTCCATTGAATATTTTGTTTTATTTGAATAATTGTGATTGATTTGAACATTGACCACCATCCTAATAATTTTAGTTGAATAAAATTTATTTTTCTCAAAAAAAAAAATAATAATAATAATAAAGAAAGTAAATAAGGTAAAAGAAAAAGTTTATAATGCAAAGGGTAGATATGGTATTAGAAAATGAGAGATGATGCATTAATGAGCTTAATGACTTTATTGTCACTTCCTTTAAAGAAGAAAGAAAAATGGAGTACAATTCTATAAAAGTGGAGTGCAAATATCGCCTCCTTACATTTTTTTTTTTAATTATAATATTCTCTTAAATTCACATTCATATCATCTCTTATAAATTACTCCGTACACAAAGTCCATTTGTACAAATTGTGCAATTTTTTTGCCATTTTTTTTTTTTTAAATTATCATTTATTATCAACAAGGATTAAGTAAATTCTCACAACCATTTTAGCTATTGGTTTTCATGTACAAAATGAAGGATGGACATAGATAGTGATGTAAGTGGTAGAATTGAAATTTGAAGTGGATTAAATAAAATATAGACAAACTATTGACATTTTATGAGAAAAAAATAATAATAATAACAAAAAGGTTAAAAAGAAATTTTTATAAGACTGTTATAGTGTTATTAAATCAACTATGTTATATGACGAAAAAAAGGAGAGAGAGAGAGAACAAAAATAATGTCTTTCATGTAGCCGAAATGGAATGCTAAGAACATGATTGTAGTGGCCATAAGAGTTATGATTATTAATGAGTAATGACTGTGTAAAAAAAAAAACTAAGAGTGACATTTAATGAAAAATTTAATAGAGTATAGTAACATGATTTGAACACATAAATTGGATATTTAAAAACACCACGTCAAATAAGGGACTGATTGTCTTAGAAAATAAGAGAGATGTTAGGGCTCTTTTATGCCAAAAAAAACCATAGTAGAAAAGATTGAAAATGAAAATTTTATGCCAGGGCTCTTTCCTTTGAGATTAAAAAGCAAAGATGATAAGGAATTGAACACCATAGTGTAATTATTAGAAACAGAAGGGACAATGTGAAATTAAGCAAACATTTAGACTCTTATTTATTTTAGTAAAGGTCCCGACATGTGATTCTCAGCCGTGCGATTATGGTAACCGCAAGATCAATTGATCTCTCAACCAAACTACCCAAAATAACAGATTCACACATCATTCACACACAGCGAAACTTTTCCCCTTCTCTTCCACGGTAGTTCCACCGTTTTAGGTCTTGAAGCTGCCCTTAAACCCCTTCTCTCGCTCGCTCTCTCTCTAGACTTATAGAGAGAGAGACGACGGCTCAATCTTCCGCCCGGAACATGGCAGCTCCAGAAGCTCCTCTTTGCTATGTCGGAGTTGCGAGAAAGTCCGCTGCTTTCCGGCTCATGAAACAAATGGTTCGCTCTCTCCGTCTCTATACACACACACTCATCTATATACACAGATTCACTCCCACATATCCATTTATGTACACATGTATATTTTTGCTAAATTGAGCCCTTGCAGTGTTTGAGCACGTATGGTTTGTTTAAGAACAACAATTCAATTATCAATTTTATATACAAACATGAATTTGATCAGGTGGTGATATATGATTCAGGGGTGGGAAGAAGGCGAGGGGCTCGGGAAAGACAAGCAAGGGATCAAAGGGTATGTTAGGGTTAAGAACAAACAGGACACAACAGGTTTCTCTCTTTCCCTCTGTTTTTTTCCCTCAATTTTTTAGTTTGTCTTTAAAATTATGATCTGTTTGGTATCTAAGAAAAGGTAGGAAAAGAAAAGAGTTGAAATTTGCATTTTTTAACCTTTTTTTTATATTTTTTTGGGTGATCTTAGAAATTACAGAGGTCTAGACTCAGTTGAGCCTAAACACATGAATGCGAGATTAGATGAAGTGCTTGTGAAGTATTTTATCATCATGAATGCGAGGCTTGGTATACATGTTTTATTTTTGTTATTTATTTTTTCAATTTGCAATAGGTATTGGTACAGAGACAAACAATTGGGCATTTGATACAGCACAGTTTGACAGTATCCTCAAAAGGTTAAAAGTGGTAAGTTTTCTTCTTCCGAATTGACCAATCAATTCTTGATGCTGTTGAATACGTTTTCTTTATAATTGTTATCTTTTTTGGTTGACTGGGCAGCAAGCAGTGGCAACGAAGGGTGATGAAGGTACAACTAAATTGAGACTTGAAATGTTATATTATTGCATTTAATACTAAACATAGCTTGGTGAGGATCATATTTGTGTGTTTTACAGTTGTTGAGAAGAATGAATCTGAAGGTTCAGATACTGATGCATCCAATGACCGTCAGGTTCCAGTTGTCAAGGCTACTCGGCCACAAGGAAGGTGTGTTTTTTCACGTATTTTAAAATTCAGTGCATATTTGTTCGGTAACCTTATATGCTTATTATTATTGTTAATTTATGGACCCTTCCAACTAATCACCAGATATAAGAGACGAGAGAGAGGGAAGCTTGTCCATGCATATTCATCCCAGGATCTCGAAGGGATACTTGTGAGTTACCAACATCAATAGAAAATTTTTTATTATTATTTTTAATTCAAAATGTTGATCCCTCTCTATGTTTGTCTGCATCAGTATTCGACCACTATAGAGCTGTTTGAAGTGGGTCTTATGAGATGATTATCATGATTATGTTATATGTCATGAATGAGATGATTATCATGATTATGTTATATGTTGTGAAATTTTTTAAATGGTGTAATTACTGAGCATTATCTATTTTGTTTCGTTTTCTGTAGATTCTGTTATTAAGTAGATTTAATGATGAAAGCAATCCTCACACATAGAATTCAGATATTTCATATCTATATAGTTGTTTGTGTTCGACGTGTTGGTGTCTTCTAAAGCTGCAAGTTCTTTTTTTATTTTTTCTTTTTTGATAAGTAAAAGTATAACATTTCTTTTGTTTTTCTCAATGGAGCTTTTTTTTTTTTTTTTTTGATAAGTAAGACAATTGTATAGAAGCAGCGCTCAAAAGGGGAGCGAAGCCCAAAAAAATTACACAAGGCCAAAAAGGGCCTCTAAACTTTCAAAGAGTCCATCTAAAGATGTATAATTGCTGCCCACACCAACAAAAAAGAGTGGAGATAATAGAGAACTTCAGCATAGAAATAGGATTCTCCTTTCCTTTGAAAGATCTCCCGTTCCTCTCAAGCCAAATACACCACCAGATACACAAAGGCATAACCCTCCAAGCATCTCAGACTTGGACCCCCACTGTACAACCTCCTCAAGCCTCAATTAACCCTCTGGAGGATCTGGGCATAACCCACTGAACCCCAAACAAACCTAGCATCAAATCCCAGCAGTCCCTGGCCATGGTGCAATGCAAAAGGAGGTGATCCACCGTCTCCTCCGCACGAAGGCACATGCAACAACAGTTGACCACCACCTAATTCCTTCTCTTCAAATTTTCCAGTGTAAAGATCTTCCCTAAAACAGACGTCTAAGCAAAGAAAGCCACCTTAAGGGGGGCCTTGGAGCACCAAACAACCTTCCATGGGAAAGGAGCCCCTGGCACCTCCATAAGACACCTATAGAAGGATCGAACATCAAAACAACCCTGAGAAGCAGGGGCCCACACCCAACCATCTCCACCCATGATCTTTTGGTGATACAACATTTCCAAAAAACCAATGGCGTCCTCAATCTCCTAATCCTGAAAATGCCTCCTGAAACGAACATCCCAAGACGATCTCCCACTATCAAGCCGATAACAGTTGACCACTATGGCTTGCCTATCCGTGGCAATCTTGAAGAGCCGGGGGAAAGCGAGAGCAAGAAGTCGATCCCCTCACCAAACGTCCTCCCAATCAGGACTGCAGATGATCTACTTACCACAATCAGGACTGCAGATGAAATTTTGGGAGAAAATTTGACTAACAACTAATTCTTGAAACAATGATATTGGAAAATCAACATGGTTTAATGCTCTAGGGGTTAAGGTTGGAAACTATTTAGTATCTACATACCGAGGAGACTTATAGAAAAGTGAAGAGAGAGGAAAAGGTCTTCATAATGTGTTTATTACTTTATTAAACGTGGATAAATCCTACAATAGTGTCACTAGATATATGATATAAACCCCACACACACATATATATATTTATTTATTTAAAGGAATCACAATTAGATGTATATAAAATGAGCTTCCATGGTTTATGCTATTTAAGAGTACTGTTCTAGATGATGAAACTAAAATAGGGTGAATTTTAAACTATAGTGTTACCAGATATATGATATATATATATATATATATATATATATATATATATAAAGGAATCACAATTAGATGCATAATAAAAAAGCTTCCATGGTTTATGCTATTTACTAGTACTGTTCTAGATGATGAAACTAAAATAGGGCGATTTTTAAATTATCAGTCTAGAAAAATTCTAGAATCAGAAGAGTTTAAAATAAGTATGACTTAGTTAAATATACGTGGAATTTGTCTTTAATAAATTAGAATATAAATTGAAAGGTTGAGAGGGGCTTGAGATTCCTTTTACGGAAGACGAAGTTCTAAAGGCTTTATCAAGTTGTTACAGGGACAAAGCTCCGGCCCTTATGGGTTCACTATGCAATTTCTAATGGAAAGTTGGGTGGTTGTGAGAAACGAGGTGATGGGTACATTTCAGGAGTTTCATTCTACTGGCACCTTTGAGAAGTTACTAAATGCCTAATTCATTGCCCTTATCCCTAAGAAGGGAGGTGCTTCTGACAGTAAAGACTTCAGACCTATCAGCTTGGTGGGTTGTATTCACAAGCTCATGGCTAAGGTTCTTGCTCTTACGATGAGGGAAGTAATGGATGGGATTATCTCGGATTCCCAGAATGCTTTTGTTAGAGGATGGCAAATTTTTGATTCAATTCTTATTGCAGGCGAATGTGTGGATTATAGATTGAGAAGTGGTGTTCCCGGAGTCTTATGCAAACTTGACATTGAGAAAGCGTATTATCATGTGAATTGGAATTTGCTGCTATATTTGCTACTAAGAATGGGGTTTGGAAGTAAATAGAGGAAATGGATTGAGACATGTCTTTCGTCTGTCAAGTTCTCTGTTCTTGCAAACGGGTTTCCTGCTTGTTTCTTTGGGTGCACTCGGGGTTTAAGACAAGAAGATCCCTTGTCATCGTCTTTCCTTTTTCTTATTGTTATGGAGGGCTTAAGTAGACTTATGCGAAGTGCAGAGGATCTTGGTCTTATCAAGGGCTTTATGGTGGGGAGAGATCTAGTCCATCAGATGGAGATCTCTCGTTTACTTTTTGCGGACCCTAATTTTTTGTGATGCTGATGTGTCTCAACTTAGATATTTGAGGTGCATCTTGGCCTGTTTTCAGGCTGTTTCTGGTCTGAAGGTCAACGTGGCTAAAAGCGTGCTTGTTCCGGTAGGGTCCTAGGGGATGTTCAGGATATCTCCTCTTTAGCTGCAGTCCTTGGGTGTAGGGTGAGTTCTTTTCCTATTCCATATTTAGGTTTGCCTCTAGGGGTTTCTTTTAGGTCTGTGGAGAGTTGGGACCCTGTGATTGATAGGTATGCGAAGAGATTGGTAGGATGGAAGAAGCAATACTTGTCTAAGGGGGGGAAAGTTACGCTTATAAAGAGCACTTTATCGAGCCTTCCCACATATTTTTTTTTATCTATGTTCCAAATTCCATGCTCTGTTGTTGCTAGGATTGAAAAAATTCAAAGGGATTTCCTTTGGGGCGGAAGGGGCGAAGAGTTTAAGTATCACCTCGTTAAATGGAAATAAATTTGCAAGCCCATGAAGCTAGGTGGTCTTGGTATCAGAAGATTGGTTCCCTTTAATCAAGCTCTCGTGTAAATGGCTGTGGAGGTACGGGAGGGAAAGACATCTCCCTTGGCGAAGGCTTGTTTCTTGCTGGTATGGGGAAGAGAGTGGCGGTTGGTTTACCCGTTCGGTTTCTCTCGTGGGAGGAGTAGGGGCGTGGAAATCCATTCTAAAGGGATGGGATGCTTTCTCTTCTCACATTAGATTCAAAGTTCGTGATGGCAGATGTGTTCGTTTCTGGGAGGATCTTTGGTGTGGATACCAGCCTTTATCTAGTACATTTCCCATATTATATAGTATTGCAGTTGATAAACATGCCTACATAGCTGACTGTTATCGGCTTGATAGTAGTGGGATTATGTGGAACGTGCATTTTCGGCGTTCTTTTCAGGATTGGGAGTTGGACGAGGTATGTGTTTTTCTGGATTTGCTGTATTGATAGGAGGCAGTTGGCAGAGGCAGTGACGATTTGACATGGATTCCCTCTTCCCATTGTCGCTTCGAAGTTCGTTCCTTATTCTTATGTCTATCTAATTTTGATATCGTTGATTTTTCGTGGAAGACCATCTGGCGTTCTATGGCTCCAACTAGGGTGGCATTCTTTGTATGGACCGCTGTATGGGGTAAGATCCTGACGATTGATCATTTAAGGAAAAGGGGCAAATGTTTTGTTTACTGGTGTTGCCTATGCAAACAAGATGGTGAGTTAGTTGATCATATTCTCATGCATTGTCCTGTGGCGAGCGACTGTTGGAATCTTATTTTTGGTCTGTTTGGTATGCGTTGGGTTATGCGTCGTTATTCTAAGGATTTGATTCATGCTTGGAGAGAATGCCGTGTGAGAAGTGGTGTTCGCGATTACTGGAAATTACTGGAAAATTGTACCACATTGTGTTTGGTGGTGCATATGGAAGGAGAGGAATAGTATAATGTTCGAAGGGAAATAGTTGTCCACGGCGATGCTGAAACTTCACTTCATTCGCTCTCTTTTCAGTTACATGAAGAGGAAGTCCTGTTCCTCTTCCGATGATTTAATCATTTTTTTTGGATTCTTTGGGGCCTTAGACCCTGGTTCCACTTTTGTATAAGGGACGCATTCCCCTCTTGAACGCCTTTTTATTTAATTATTACTTATCAGGAAAAAAAAAAAAAAAAGGTTGTGAAAATCTAAGGAGGGAAAGACAGAAGGCTGTATTTCAAATCCATGTTTGAATTAGCCAGTGCAAAAATGATCATTGGTGCTGAGAGTTTGGATAACATCACGTCCATGGAGATGGTGGACCAGTTATTTAATTTATTCGATGAATGGGTATAATGTATTTGGCAAATTTGTAATTAATTAATTTATTTCAACTTCAATATTAACAGTTGCATTACTTCGAAGATAGAACATAAGATATTCAAACAATGACTTTGATATACACTATTACCACTATTCCTTGTTATGTCTCTTTTTACTATAATGATTTTTCCCCTTTATTGAAAGTGTCATTTACATGCTTAAATCATTTAGCCACATATTTGATATTTAAATTAGTTCTGAAAATAGGAGACATGCATGCATTGTCTGACATCAGCATTGTTGGAGAAGTGTCATGTTTGACATGGTATTGGGCAATGGACATATGTTACATGGACTCGGGTATGGGTACGGGTGTCGAACGCGGGTATGTATCCATGCATCAGACGTGTCAAATCTCCAAACAGAAGGACACACGGACATGGCTAAATATTCATTTTATTAATTATTTTATTTTATTTTCTAAAGTAAAGTAATGTTTTTATCAAATATAATGTTCAATATAAGTATTTACTCATTTAAAAGTAATAATATAATGTAATTGAATGATTGGATATGCTTTTTAAGTACATGTCCAACCAAAAATGTCAGACACATATCCCATAGCCATGTCCGAGGGATACGTGTCCGACACGGGTACTTCACTACTTTTGAAGAGTCCATGTAACAGAGCAATGGACGCAAACACGACACCTTTGCAAGATGTGTCTATATTTCGTAAGGAAAACCGCTAGTGCATATGTTTTCCCTTTCACTACCAATACCGATAAAGGAAGAAGAAAGTGGAGATAATATCAGGATGTGCAAAATTGAGTAGCTTTTGAGTTTATTAAGTGATTGACGTATAACTGTGAAGTTGAGGAAAAAAAAAAAAAAAAAAGAAGAGCTGTAAGACCTTTAAGGAACAGAATTTTGGACAAATGAGAAACATGTTTACAAAAGGAGCATGACTGAAATTCTTATGAAAATAAAAGTATAGTTGAAATCCAATTGTTGGGATGGAAGTGTATTAAGACAAGAATTGTTTAAATATGGATGTTTGGTAAGACAACATGACGATGTTTTTGACTTTTGTGAACAATAAATGCACCAGTGAGGAAGAGTTACAATTCACATTGACACTTGGGAAAGGAGAGCAAGTTAACATGGGTTGAGATGGGAACAAAATGTTAAGAGTGTGGCTTGGTATAAATTATATTTTTTGGGAGAGAATTGAGTAACGACATAGGATTCATGTAGCTAACTTCAATAAGTTGATTGGAGTATAAATGGCTTATAGCACCTTCTATTATGCTAACTTTGGCTGTGTTTTGAATTGCTTGATGATTATAGATATTTTAAATTGGGCACGTTCTTCTCAAATTCCCATTTATTCTAACTTGGATATTGGATCTTTTTTTTCTTTTGAGATTATATTTTTACACTGCTTAGTTTATCTTGGTATGCAATACTGTAGGTGAAAAAAAATGATGAGTGCCCTCAGACAAAATGTAATCAGGATGACAGATTGGAGTCAGCAGAAGTCTTTGAAAGCCATGTCTATGATGTTGAAGGTACCTTTGGGAACTCAGATGGGTAGCAGTTATTTTCCCGTTATATTAACATCATGGCTGGAATTATTGGACATTTGTTTGCACGTTCAAGTTATATTCTATTTGACTATTCAAGTTTATTATGACTGTTTTCCAAATCAAATTCAGTTTGTAAGGTTAAATTATCTCTAAATTGAGTTGTATAATGCATGGCTTTCTTTCTTTCTTCCCATTTTAAGGCTTCTTATCTTGTGGTTGTTCATTTGGAAAAGTATTCATGATGATACTTGGAGGTTAGGAAGCGATAAGTATGTCAGATCAATCCCTAGGTTGTGATTAGAGTAGCACAAGGCCGTGTTTAGGTCTAGAGGGGGGTGAATAGCTCTTGATTTTTTACCCTAACTAACTTTTACCAATTTTTAAATCATAACTAATTTGACAGCAATATGAAAATCTAATTAACTAGCAAGAAAACAATCTAATCAATCTACAATGTAAATTATGCATGCGAAATATTGAAGTAGTAAAGATAAACAATCACAAGCAAGAACACTACTTTATGTGGAAACCAACGGGAAATTCAAAACAGTCAGGCAGACAGAAATTCACTATGTGAGAAAAATGTTTCCAGCTAAGGTACCAGATTTCAAACCTAGAATCATCTAGCCCATCCTGACTCAGATTTACACAAGACTAACTCAGGTCTTCCAGCCGCTGATCCATCAACAAATCCACTCCTGCGAGACCTGTTTCTCCATGGATCTTCTAACTCCTCCGCTTGTGGATGTATGATAAATAGATGCAAAAACAAAATATTAGTGATCACAAGACTACTAGGATGCAAACAATATCACAGAATGGGAGTATGAAAAGACTAGTATAGTGTGCTTGTCTCTCTTAGGTTTTTTGAACAATTAGAGTAACTGTATAAAAAATAGAGAGGAAAAAAAAAAAAAAATGGTTTTGAGTAGTTCAAATAAAAGAAGCTCAGAATTCAAACAGCTTGATTGGTCGAGCCCATTGTCGATCGATCAGCATAAGATCATCATGCTTCAGTGGATCCCCCGACGGATCAAAGTCTGCTGTCACAACTGGTTTTGGATTCTGATTTCAATTTTGTTTCCCATATACACTTTTAATGGATATCAAAAAGGATTTTGAATATAGAGTCATAGTAATCATGAAATCCTAGCTGTTATATACAAAACCCTTAAATGGCGTGTGTACCAATTCAAGTTTCAACTTATCTTTATGCCCTTGCTTCTTTGTAAAATTCCTTATTTGCCCTTAGACAAGGTTCCACAACTAACCTACCCTTGATAATTGGGATTAAAGTTTTTGCTGACTAGTATTCTGGCTTCTTAGGTGCACTCATCAGGAAAGGATAGTGCTCCTAGTTATGCAGTATACTTTAATCCTTTCTTTTAATTGACAAGTAATATTGTGCAAACTTACTTCTAAAAAAAAATTATTATTGTGCAAACTTTCTAGTAACTGCTTTTTAGAGGATGTATGGGTAGATTTAATATTTTTCTTCAAAATAAGTTTAGCATTTGACTTGATAGTGATGCCAAGGCTGCTTTATGTCAAATATTTGCATCAGTTGTCATGGATTAACATTACCATGCCTGTTGGCCACGAGGTATTTGGTTTACCCACTATAAACGGATGATTGAGTGTTTTATTTTATTTCATGACAACCTCGAAGAAATAAAACTGGTGAGAGATTCGTTTTAACCACTAGTGTAGAAGGGTTGGGGAGCATATTATTATTTGGAAGAGGGGGTGCCACAAAGAAGATAAAATGTAAGTGGCGTGTGTTTGTGTATACATTATTTTTCTTTTTTTCTTCATGCACCGACAGTTCTCAGTAGCAAGTATGATGGGAAAACAGAAGACTTCATTTCATTTTTGTGATGAATGCATAAAATGCAATTTATACCTTTCTTCTTCTTCTTCTTCTTCTTCTTCTTCTTCTTTTTAAAAAACGCTTTACTTCTTTAATTGGTTGTTGCATAAAATGCAAAGTGGAAACCTTTTTAGATGTACTTCTTTTAGTCAGTTAGATTGGTGTGCCAAATTTCAGACACTAAATGTTTGGATCAATTTTCTATTTGGTTCACACTATGATTATTTTGACTCCATTGTTTATGACCATTTTGATTCCATTATTTATGACCATTATATTCTTATTCTGTTGGGTATTTTTTTCTATTCTGGTGTCAAAGTTGAGAGTTCTTATGTATTGTGTTTTTTAGCATCTACGTGGTTACTATTTGTCATTCACTTTAAGACCTCATTCTCTCTACAAATGTAGTTAATCCGTGATGCTTAGCTGCTGGGTAGTTTCATGGCATGCATTTAGTGTTCTAAAACTATTACTGTAACTTTCTGGCAGGAAATGAAGATAAAATTGTTTCACCGGATTGGTGGGGCTTTAAATATGGGTTCATCTCAGGAGGTTTTCTTGGAGCAGAATCTAGGAGAAAGAAATCCCTCCCTGAAAATGCCCAAAATTCTAATGAGAGAACTGCATTTCATGAAGAAGATCAAGAGAATCTTTATAAACTTGTCCAAGTATGTACCTTATTATTTTTTGTTCTCCGAACTTTCTGAAGTACATGAGCTTTTTGTTCATACCCATTGATTGAAACTCAACCTCATCACTCTCTCTTATCTATTATTAATTATGTGGCAACTTCTCTTGGTTTAATCTATGCTGGCTTACTTTTAGCTGGCTGTTCCATTTTTTTGGTATTACATACACTTCCTGTTATATAAACAATTACGACAACAACCTAGCTTTTTCCCCAACTATTTGGGGTCAGTTACATGAATCTTATATTTCCGCTCTATTTAAGGCCATAGCCTCAGTCAATCTACATTCTATCATATCCTTTCTCACTAACCCTACCCAAGTTAACTTTGATCTTCCTCTTCCCCTAGTATTACCCTCAATGTGGACTGTGTCATTTGTCCTAACTGGTGTACTTAAAGGTCTTCTTTACACATATCCAAACTATCTTAACTGATTTTTTTCTCATTTTATCTCCAATTTGTGCTACTCCAACCATCTCCCGAATGTGATCATTTCTAATTATATCCTTTCTAGTCTTATGCACATCCATCTCAACATTTGCATTTCTGCTACACTCACTTTATGGTATATCTAATATTCTGGTAAATAAATGAAATTACAAATGCAAAGAGCCATATAACTGGTTGTGCTCTTAATATATATAGCTGAATTTATAGTGATGTGAATTTCAACAAAATCTTGTAAGAAGGGTTAAATGAAACATTGATTCATGTCTCCGTGTAGAATAAAGCCACATCAGGGAAGCAAGGATTGGGTATTAAGGATCGACCAAGAAAAATAGCTGGTTGCCACTTTCAAGGGAAAAAGACATCTTTTGATGACAGTGATGATGGAGATTCCAGTGATTGTCGCTTTTCATCAAAACGAAAACAATGTGACATTTTAGAAGTGGAAAGGAATGCTGAACCAAAAGTGAAGCTCAAAAAACTGTGTAGACAACTTCTTCGTCAGGTGCATGATCTGAATTGTGAGCTTTTGTAAAATATCATTCATTTTCCTTCAATAACTAACGGCTTGTCTCAGGTGCCTGGAGAGACCTTAAAGCTAAAACAGCTTAAAAGTCTTATTGATGAACGGTCGTACTCTGTTTTTTCCAACTTCTCTTCAAAAGGAGAGGCTCTTACTTTTTTGAAACAGAAGGTACAATTTTTATGGCTGCGATGGTAAACTCTTCTCAGCTCATACCACATGTCAGGAGTTCGTAAAGAAGATTCATTACGATGCTTTCTTTTTCTATTGTTATGCCCATTCATTCAAAATGAACCTTATTTTTATATTTTGCAGCTAGAAGGCAGTGAGAACTTCTCCGTGAAGGGAAAGAGAGTGAGTCTCTCAGTGAAGAGAGGCCGATAAATTTTTGCTCGGCATTTAAGATACCTGTAGCGATACGTACATTGCAGCTGAGTGAGACTAGATTAATAGAAGTTATACACCATGTTGTTATTGGGTTTGTTCAAGAGGTTGCATGTACTCATTTTAATTGCGTCTCATTTGTTTTGAATGAATAGAATACTGATGGTTACATTTTAGCTTTAGACACCAATTGCAGTTCTATTGATCATGCAGTTGTAGGATTTATTGAAGACTTGGCTTGTATTGTGATACTTATTGCCCATTTGTTTTGAACGAATATAATTTTATTTTTTATTTAAAAAGAGTAAACCCGGAGTTCATGAAATGCACACATTTGATGGGAATTGTCTTTTCTTATTTGAATTTGGAAAGTACCATTGAACCTCAAATTTGGATGTCTTTTTTTATGCTGCGGCACCATTACAGGGTCCACCATTTGTGTGTTGAGTTTTCAGTTGGGTGTTTGCATTTTTACTAGTGAAATAGGTGCATGCTATATAGCTGAATGCCGAAGACTTTCGCCTCACATTATGAGTGGGAGTTTGAATATCGTTGAGACCACTTCCAAAGAAATTTTTGGTAATTGTGTGGGATGGCATCGTTGAGACCACTTCCAAAGAAATGTATGGGAATTGTGTGGGACAGAGTGTCGGAGACTGTATGTGAGCGGTGGTGAATTATGGAGATAAAGAGGCAAAGGTGCAGGCTCATTATACAAGGAGCACAAAGGGGTTACATATGGTACATGTCAACTAATTTATGCTAGGGTTGTGGTTCTGTACAAGTTTTTGGTTTAAAAGCTAGCTAGCTCGGTCGCTCCTCACAGTAACTTGCGAACTGTACATGTATGTTTCGGTTCTATAATTTTTAGTGGCCCCCACTATGGCAATAGGCAACTACCGTTATCATTTTTCTAACACTATAAACTCCAAACGAGACAACCAAGTATGATGTTGATGTTTGCACCACTCGTCTATATCTTAGGTGGGGCAATTCAGCAACCTGTATTTTCACGTGGCATAGGGTGTAAACGCATGATTTATTTTCTAAGGTTTGAAAAATTCAAAATCAAGCTAATAAAAAAATATTTGTATAAATTAAATATAGTTCACGTAACAGTGTAAAGGCAAATTTCAACACAAAATATTGAATGTAAATTGACCAAAATCCAAAAATGAAACTTTCAAACACGGTTTGTGAAAATTTAGTCGGCCTTGGGATACAGCCCTTAAATCCAAAACCAAGAGCTTTCAAACCCCTTTTGCTTTAGCCACAACCTACGCAGTAGAACATTATAGGTGAATGGGATGGTAACGGCGGCAAAGAAAAAACCAAAAAAAGACAAAAGAAGGATTTTATATCTATATTCTTTACAAACCTTTGTGTGTGTGTATCTATCTATATATATATATATATATATATATATTTGTATGTATAATTAGCTTTTGGAGTGGTAAAGGTGGACCAAAATAAAAGGTCCATACCCTAGCTAGAATAGTTACCCATATATCACGTAATGCCATCCCTCCACCATTTTTCAACGGTCGTATTTTCAGCACCGTCACCCATGTAGCTCATGCTTCTGCTTTGTAAGTATGGTAGAAGTCTTGAGTAGGGACTCAGAAATTCATGCCATTGCAAGTTGGAAGTGTGGTTGTCAATTTCATTATGGAAACAATTAGTGGTTTTGCAATTGGAATATATAGTCTTTTTACTACTAGGTGTACCCCTATAGGCCTAAAAATGGAAAAACTAACCTTATTTATTTTTAAGGAGTTATATATAACTACTGAAAGTGCATAATACTAGTAGCATGCTAGATAATTGGCAATAGAATAATTGTATGGAGTTGTACAATTACTAAAAGTGCATGATAATTGGCATTATATGGTTAGCATGCTGGATAATTGGCAATATAATAATTGTAAAATTGAGAGGAAAAAAAATGTGTACTGAAAAATAGAAATCGGGAACTCAGTAACTGAATAGAAGAGGAAAGCGGTAGGTCTTGAATTTAAATCCTTTCGAAGTGCATTTTTTGTATTGAAAATGTATCTTACTCGTATACAAGACGCGCACTTCGATACGAATAATAAAACTCTAATACAAAATGGTTTTCATGTGTCTTGAAGCATCATCATTTAAGTGCAAATAACTAAAATGTCAATTTAATTTATTAATAAAATATAAATACATAAACGAACATAAATATTTTACTACTCGAGTGGATAATTGGGTAGGACCAAATTACCATATTCGAGTGGAGTATTTATGATTTATATATATATATAATAAGTGTTTCCCTAAATAAATTATTGCTTACGGATGCATACATCATCTAAGGTTTCTTTTCGTAATTAATAACATCTCAGTCTAATTAATACTTTTTGGTCTCAAGAAGAGCTTAGTCAACAAGAAAAATTAAAGCGAGTAAAAGACGAATGCGCGTAATGGCTCTCCCCACTTGGCCTCGCTTTGACATTTTATAAAAGTCAGCCCCAATCCAAAATCCTTTTGAAGGAGGCAAGAGATCAAAAAATCCTCTCTATATATATTAATCACTCTCTCTGCAATACATATATAAAAGGACTTGCCTTCTCTAATATCTGATTGTATCTCTCCATATATATCTCTTATATATTTGTTCACAAAGTCAGCGCCACCTTTTTATTAGTGTTGTGATATCTCTCCAATTGATCTCTCTCTAGCTTCATCTCTCTGCACAACGATGAGTGAGTTTGCAATGGAAGATTGGGATTTGCAAGCTGTAGTTAGAGGGTTCAGCAGTGGCTCAACCAGTATTGAAAGCCCATCAAAATGGTTTGGTCCTTTGTCCACACAACACGAAGAAGACGATGACCTTTTTCTCAGTACTAGTATTCCTGAATTTTATGATACAGCAACAGTTTTGGATGAGCTAGAGCAACTATACAAGCCCTTTTACCCCATGTTTAACCCCATCTCTCCACAAACCATCTTCGGCACTTCATCTATTCTATCTGTTCACAAACAAGAGAAAGAGAGAGAGAGAGAGAGAGAGAAAGAGAGAGAGCAAGAAGAGGTTCAAGACAAGCAATCTATTGCTAGCCCTGAAAATATTGTTGCCAGTGATACCAGTATTTCTTCTCATGAAGCTAAACACAGAAAAAGGTATGTATGTGCAATTCATATATATAGTTCTCTGGAATTTCCCATTTTAGACCAACAACAAAATGTTTTATAAAACATTTTTCAAAGTTAGATTTAGGTAAGTGCAGTTCATATAGTTGATTAGAATTTTCCCATTTTAGACCAACAACAAAATGTATTGTGTTTCCAAATTAGGTTAGAATTAAGTATGTGGAGTTCATATATACTAGTATTTCACTAGATTTTCCAATTTTAGTAACAATTTGCAGTACCTTTCAACAGGAAGAATCAGCAAAAAAAGGTGGTGCTCCAAGTAACAGCAGATGGTCTCTCTTCTGATATGTGGGCTTGGCGTAAATATGGTCAAAAACCCATCAAAGGATCTCCCTACCCAAGGTGTATATATATATATATATATATAGCTCTCTTTCTCATGCTATTGTAGATTAGTATTATTATTATTTTGAAATCTAAGAATAGCCTTTATGATTACTCAAGCAATTCATGTAAGAAAATTAACCATTAATTAAATGGTCGCCTTAGAACCTATCTTGTTTACATGCTCTTAGATTACTTGTCAAATCTAAGATTAATAGCCTTTATTGTTGGGTGGATTTTTTAAGATTTAATTCCTTTAAGTATTTTCATATTGTTTTCCGGTATATATAGGATAATAAGAAGAGTCCTTTTTATTACTCGAGGACTAATTAATCTGATTATTTTTCATTGTTGGGTTGCTTCTTGTATTTTGGTTTCTGTGGTTTTTGGAAATGCCTTTTCAGTTGGGTTTTTTCTCCAGTTTGGTTGTTTTTCTGGAAGAGTTGTATGTCTTATTTTATATATATATGTGTGTGTGTGTGTGTGTGTGATTTAGAGGGAAAAAAAATCTGATAATAGACAAATTCCTTCAAAATCTATTTTCAATTTAGTGACTGAATATTGCTTGGTGGAACACCAGAAGCTATTACAGGTGCAGTAGCTTGAAAGGATGTTTAGCAAGAAAGCAAGTGGAGCGCAGCCATTTGGATCCAACAATGTTTATTGTAACCTACACTGCTGAACACAGCCACGCTAAGCCCACTCGCCGGAGCTCCCTGGCTGGCACTACCCGGCAAAGAAGCCCCACCAGTACCGGCAATGATCAGCTTGTTGTCACGCCAACCGCCAGTCCCATTTCAGCTGGAAGCACTCTATCTCCGACAACCATTGAAGATGATCAGTACTTTCTACAAGCTGAAACCATAAAGAATGAGTGCAAAGTAGATGATGAACAAGTAGTTCAAGATATGATATTGAGTGATGACTTCTTTAGTGGCTTAGATTTTGGACTAGATGGACTGGCTCCTGATGTAGCGTTTGACTATGCTATCCCTGATCAATTTAATTTTCAAATGAGCTTTCCTTGCTAATGTTCGTTGAGTGATCTAGAGAGAGTTAAAATTTTCCCTTCTAAGATTTGTCCTAGTAAAGAGAGTCACTGTTGTTTGTATTTGTTACCTTCCTCTTTTTTTTTTTGGATAATTTCCTTTGACATTTATGTATGGAGCACCATTTCGATCAAAGAAGTACTAACAAAAAGTCATGCACTCTGCCCTGCAGTGTTTGTTGATTGTTGGATCATGGCTCTGCGTGATCAGTAGGTAGCCCTTTTTCAAAACTCTCGTACCGTTAGTTACATGGTTTAATGAATCGGCCAATTTATACTTATATTCGCCCGTTCGTCTTTCAATGAACCGGCCGACTTACACTTATATTCGCCTATTGGTCTGTGTAACGTTACACCTTAACTGTAAATCATAATTGAATCTTCTAAATGTATTTTACTACAATGCATAACCATATCATTCACACATGCGTGATAATGATTTGAATGTTATATTTTAATTTGAACTTATTTTATCCATTGATGTGATAAGTGCCTACTTTTAAAAATAGGAAATAAAAATCAAAATAAAAAATAAAATTTGGAGGGTAGAAATGTAGATTAGGATAAAAAGGTCTCTCTAATTAATTTCAATGATGTAATAGTATAGTATGATATAATTAACTTGGACTTTTTATGAGAGTTGTGTACGAATGCGTGGCAATTATTGGCTGCTGCCTAGCCAAGCAGGTCTGCTGGGATTGTGAGATATAGTAGAAAAGGACGGTCGATTATACTTTATTCTATAAAGATAAACATTTATTAAAGTCCTACCATAAAGTTTATTTTGGTTTGCAGCCCCAGGCGCCCTTCAACTTCTATTGCTAGCACTTCACAACTCGAAATGACAGCTGTTTATTTATTTATTTATTTTTAAAAGAGAAATGTTTATAACATTATCAATTATTAGATGGGGTGTGTGTCATAATCTATCTTATTTTTATATTTACGTGAAGCACATCTCATCAACTGACATGTTCATTCAAAATATTCGGGCGTTATTGTTGATTTGTACACGAAAAATGTTACGTATATCCAATCAAAGTGTAATTTGATTATTTAATTTAGCATTTAATTTTGAATGCATTCAGTGTTTATTCAATTAAATGTGATTGCAAGTTTGATAAGGTATTTTGAATATCATTAAAAACGACTTATGACTGCATCTACAACTAAAATATTTAAGACTCAACATTTAAGCTAGACTATTGAGTTTAAATATCACAATTCTTAAAATAAGTGATGATTTCAAACCCATGCAATTATGTGATTATATTAAGCATAAAACAATCATCTGTTTTGCATGAGTTAAATATTATTATTTCTTTTACAAATAATCAAGAAAAATAAAACTAAAAGAAACAAAATTCATTTTATTTATGTGACGAGTGTAGAATTATGGATATTTGTGCCGTTACTTCTCTATATTTTGTATAAAAAATAAAAAAATAAAATAAAATAAAATTCCTATAAGAGAATAAATTAAAAATTGTATAGAATAAGTAAAGGCTAAACCACACATTGAAGATTAGAACTCCGAATTCAATTTCAAAACTAAAAATTTAAGGGAAAGAGAAAGAATTTGAATTTTTGAATAATAAAATTAGATTAAAATTTTTTTTGATCAAATAATGAAAAAAGTAGGGATGAAAATCCATTACCACATATCCATATAAATAAAACTTTTATTTTTCCTATATAAATTTTCCTCCTATAAACAAATCACTTCACCCGTCCAATTACAACTTGAAAAATTACTGCATTAAATAACAGTAGCTTATATATATGAGATAATATATTTTTACTTAATCTGATATATCTTTGGTAAATAGAAATAAGTATTCTCCGAATTACTATTAATTGACAAACACGAACAATCCTCCCTCCAATTTTTTTTATCAATTTAAGAACATAGAATATATATATATATATATATATATATATATATATATATATATATATATATATTCAGAAAAATTTACACAAGAAATAAAAGATAAACTATTTATATTTCAGCCATCGTGACTTCATCTTTCCCTCCAGACGAGGTGTTTAAGTTAGCATGCAACGACCCTAGCTGATGCCAAAATTAAAAAAAAAAAAAATTCGGCATGACTTTCACTAAAATTTGTCCTACAACAACCTGTTTAAATGTATTTTTAACCTGTCCCAACACAAATACAATTAACATACTCCAACATTCCATCCATCTGTTCATTATACCTCAACATGGCTCATCTCATGGTGGAACATTTACATACCATTTAATCCAAATTATCATAATTACAGTCCCAAAATATAGTACAATAACAAGAGTTCACAAAATCTCTATACCAAATATAACAAACTAAGATTTTATAAAAAAATATGGGACTTAATACAAAAAATAGCAAAAAGAAGTCTTATAATCCAAATTAGGCCTGTAGTGGAAAGTCATCCGCCACTTCTTTCCCGTTTCCTGAAAAAAATTATTAAATAATAGGGTGAGCATAAAGCTTAGTTGGTAGTACTTAAGACACGCATTTTGTGTTCTTGTGAATCCATACAAAGAATAGATCAATAGGAATAGGGATCATACAATGTCGGGATCATACAACATTTCAACAAAACTCAAGTGCAAACAATACAATGCCATGGAATGCAAATGCATGCCGATGTCGCTCTCCATTTTCACATTTCAAACCATCACTTTCATACGTTAATACAACCCTCCCTTTAGTGACCCCGCAGGGGCACGAGAGGAGGATTGTCTACTGTCCCTAAACCTTTGGTAACCCCGCAGCATCATCGAGGGGCCAGATAGCTCAACCACGCCCAGATAGCTCAACCACGCTAGGGCGACTCTCTAGTCCTCTCTAGGCTATATTAACACTCCGGCCTTTTGGTATCCTCGCGGTGACCGGGTTTTCATAAAACCATTTCGTAAAAACTCTTTTACCAAAATTTTCCTTTTTGTTCCAAAACAATTTCTCCCATTTCATGCCCAATGTAAGTGCATGAGTGCATCATTACCATGAATATACTCATCATTCCATAACCAACTCAATTTAAGTAAGCAAGGCATAATTTCACAAGAATTTCTCAAGGAATTTCAACATGCTCTTATACAATAATACATGTAACCTAACGAACATATATAAATCATTACATATGCAAGTTTTTCACATAAAACATTTAATACAAGCACTCAGATAACCACATACAGATGTTCTAACTACTTCTAAACTAAAACTAGCACAAATAAGCATGTCCTGCAACAATTTAGAAGATGTAATTTACATAGGAGCAAGAAAATTGTGGATTAAGAGCCCCTACCTCTAAATTGAACAAAACCCTTGAAAGTGGGTCTCTAATTTCGAACTCCCTAGGAAGCACCAAATCTGAAATTGCTTACACTAGCGCGTAAAGCTCGTCGTGGGCTTCGTTTTGCCTCAAACGGCACTTAAATCCGGTAAGTATTGAGTCGTGGGCTTCGTTTTGCCTCAAACGGCACTTAAATCCGGTAAGTATTGAGAGAGGAATCAACAATGGAAGCTTGAAGAAAAAAAGAAAAGAAAAAAAGAACAGAGAAGAAAACAGAGACGGGAGAGAGGGAGTAGATGGAAAACTAAGACCAAATGTGGTCTTACAACCACTTAAAAGGGGCGTGGGTCCCACCCTTTTTTTTTCTTTTCTTTTCTCTCTTTTTTTTATTTTATTTTAAATTCTCACCACTATACATACCATAATTATATATATATATATATATATATATATATATATATATAAAAGAAAACACAAGACATTACATAGCATATTAACAACAACATAAAAAATAAAAAAAATAAAAAATAAAAAATAAAAAATAAAAAAATGCTCTTCATAAAAAAGAATTAGAAGAAAGAAATTCAAGACAAAAAAATTTGTAACTTTTTATTATTTTCTCTCATTAACTCTGTACATTTCTAAGAGGGAAAAATTCTAATTAATAAAATAAAACAAAAAATATATAAAATCTTCCTAAAATATTGCTACTTTCCAATTTGACTTGTGACATTGTAATCATATTTTTGACTCTTTTCTTCTCATTTCGAAATTAGCCCATATAAAACATGAAGAGATAAAAATATCTATTTAATAAAAAATATTAATTAATAATTTATTATTTAATATAAGGACAATACTTGCCTACTCACCGGTGAGTAGACAGTTCATACTCACTATTGATCTGTCGCAAAAATAGAGTGACACGTGTCCAACAATACAAAATAATAAATAAATAAATAATTAAGAGGCTATTCGGGTTAAACCCAATAGCATCCAAATCAAATCTTAATATAATTCTCGTCTCTATCTTTCTCACCCTACCAAAACCCTAACATGTCTATGTATCTTATCCTACTTGCCCAATTCTATTCTGTCTCTCACCCCCGCTTAACCTTCCATCCAACACCTTAGTTTTTCTCCAGCAGCCTTCATCCCCATGCATATTAACTGCTATATCAAAATTTAGAAGAAAAAATAATAATAATAATAAATAAATAAATAAATTTCAGTATTTACAATAATTTAAGAAATTAAGAATCAAGAAGACTTTGTTTGTGAAAAGGTAATCAATCATTCGAGGTCAGGACATGGGAGGAGAGATGTTTAACAAAAATAATAATTGGTATTGGAAATTCCAATTCTTGGCCAGAGGCTGACTACAACATTCACAGGGATTGTGGAAGGTTGAGGCCCATTTGCAAACCCCTTACATTTTGTTTTTCATTTGATGTTTATACTGCACATTGAAAATATCATATTAAGATTTGATTTTGATCATATTATTTCTTAAGAAAACGTCATAATAATATCAAATTACCGTAAAAGTGTGTGAGAAGTGCTTTCGCGAGTATGAGAGAGGGGGAGAGGATTAGGGTTTGATTTGAATCATATTGGTTTAAACCCGGATAACATTTTGAATCTTTTATTTTTTATCATAGGACACTTGTCACTATGTTTTTACGACACATCGGTAGTGAGTATGAACTTCCTACTCACCGATGAGTAGGCAAGTATTATTCTTAATATAATAAATGATTAATTAATCAGAAGAAAACTTGCTATTTTATATTCAATAATAAATGATTAATTAATATTTTTTATTAAATAGATGTTATCACCTTTACTTTTCATGTTTTATAGGGCTGATTTCGGAACGAGAAGATGAGAAGATGAAGCAAAAATATGATTACACAACGAGTCAAAATCAAGTCCAAAATTGTTTTTTTCCTATCAAATCAGCAAATATCAAGCCAAATTGGAAAACATATCTCAAATTGGAAAGCAACAATATTTTATATAATTTTTATTTTATTTTATTTTCCCTCTTGTAATTAGAATTTTTCCCTCCTAATATGGAGAGGAGGTGGGATGTACATAGTTAGTGAGAGAAAATTATAGAGATTTTTTATCTTTAATTTCTTTCTTATAATTCTTTTTTATGAAGAACATTTTTATTTTTTTATTTTATGTTCTTTTTAATATGCTAGTTTAAACGTACACCTCATCTCAAGGGAAAGAGTAGTGAAATATAAATGGTTTTATCTTTTATTTCTTGTGTAATTTTCTTCTTTAAGAATATTATTATGTGTTTTTAGATTGATAAAAAAATTAAAGGGAGGATATTCTTCATGTTTTTCAATTAATGGTAATTCAGAAAATGTCTACTTTTACTTACCAAAAATATATCAGATTAAGTAAATATTTAACGTACCAAATATATATTAGATTAAGTAAATATTTAACACTGGAAAGATGAACCGTTATAAATAGAATTAGGTATTTTCTGAATTACCGTTAATTGGCAAAAACAAACAATCTCCCTCTAATTTTTTTTATCAATCTAAGAACACGTAATAGAAGAATAAAAATAATATTTTTAAGAGGAAAATTTACATAAGAAATAAAAGGAAAAATTTACACAAGAAATAAAAGATAAAAATATTTATATTTTACCCATGTTCATTTTTCCCTCGAAATGAGGTGTTTAAGTTAGCATATTAACAAGAACATAAATAAAAAATAACATTCTCTTCTTAAAAAAGAATTACGATAAAGAAATTAATGACAAAAAATCTCTAACATTTTATTATTTTCTCTTACTAACTCTGTATATCCCACCTCATCTACATATGTTCCTATTTATAAAATTTAGAATGAAACTATTATGAGGGAAAATTCTAATTACAGGAGTAAAAATAAAATAAAAAATTTTAAAAATATTTCCTAAAATCTTGATGATTTTCAATTTGACTTGATATGCTTTTCAATTTGGCTTGATATGTTGATTTGATAGAAAAAAATCAATTTTGAATTTGATTTTGATTGACCGTCTAATCATATTTTTGCTATTTGAATTGGGATAAGAACATCTATTTAATAAAAAAATATTAATTAATAATTTATTATTGAGTATAAAATAGCAAGTTTTATGCACTTACCATACATGAAATTAATATTTTGAAAGCCTTGATTCCATGTCGCCAAATATTTTTTTCTACATGCTTTACTACAATGAACAAGGAGATTTTAGAAGGGGTGCAACTTGGGTTGGGCATCCTGAACCCAACCCGAGCTCGGCCCGATTTTTCAAAGACTTAGGTAATTATTTTTATAATTAGAGTTGGGCTTGAGTTGAAAAATATTAACCCGAATTTAAATAGGGTTGGGTTTAGGTTAAAGTGCTAGCAACCTGAGCGAACCTAAACTCGAATTCTAATATTATTTTCATATATATTTTTACTTTTAAATACATTATATATAGTATTTTATCTTTGATTACCTTTTTTCTTTTCAACTTCCTTTGTTAAATCTTAATTTATTGTATGTTAACATTTAGGAGAATTAATTTTCTAAGAATCTGTTTGTAATTTATTAAAAATGTACAAAATATTTTTAAATTTTTTCTTATTTAAGAGTAATTTAATCTAAAACTAATTCAAGATTATATTAAATTTTAGGTTTGAATATTAGCCATATGAGTAACCCAGATTTTTAACCCGGAATCTAAGCCCGAGTTGCAAGCTCGAATTTAAAAGTAAAAAGATGGATGGATTGGGTTCGGGTTGAGTAGTTAGGATTGAAGATATGGTTAGAGTTGGGCTTGGGTTTAACAATTCATATGGTGAGTTGGGCTCAAATTATGCCTCAAATCTATCCAGATTGCTGCCCTAGATTTTCGAGCATCTCCAACATTCTCTTAAAATATCATTTTGTGTAAAATATACACTAACACGTATGATATGTAATTTTTTTTTTTTTTTTATCTCCAGCAGTCTGTTAAGATACACTTCTGCGTCACCAGTGTATAAAATTATTGTTTATTTTACACAACCTTTTTACACATCCACATCAGCATATTTCTTTTCTCCAATAACCCTTAGAAGTAAAAATAAATAATCTTAAATTTTTGGATAAATTCATCATGACACATTATATATATATAGACAACGGTTGGAGATGCTCGCCGTGCCTTTACCAACTAAAATATTTATTTGCTTTTTAAGGAATATATTAATCCCAATTTAAATCACAACCGTTAAATATGTAGACCACCCCAAAACCGTTGATGAGCAGTCCTTTATGAGCCCCTAATCAAAATTGGAAAGATAAGAATATAAAATACTAATCCGACTCGTACTCAGAGTATATCTGTCGTTTCAAAAGAAGTTTCCAGAAGGAGAAGGCGGTGAGTGAAGTGTCTATACAATTTCCCTCCACCTCTCTCTCTCTATATAAATATGAATAGCTCTGTATACATCGACTTCATAATCTCTTCGCATACTGTGTAGGTTTCGTTGTCTCTTGATAAGCTCCGCAATAAGTGATACAATGGCGACTGATCATCCCGCAGAGAAAGCCAAAGAAGCATTCGTTGACGACAACTTTCAACTCGCCGTCGATCTCTACACACAGGCTATCAACTTAAACCCTAAAAACGCTGATCTCTTCGCCGACCGTGCTCAGGCCAATATCAAACTCAACTATTTCACTGGTATACAAATTTCTATTTCTCTCCCCTTTATATTTTGCTCCTTATTTTTTTATTTATGCGTAATCAATTGCGTTACTATGGATCCATGGTTCGTTTTTATATTTGAAATCTGTAATGTGCACAATTTGGTAATTGGAATGTTATTTCCATATTTTAATGTAGTTCGTTATTGGATTCCTATTCAATCTAGATTTCACTTTATTTCATTGTTTCATAGATATTGTTTGTGTTTGTAAATTTCTGTATATCGCCAGATATGTGTGTATATATATGCATTATATATCTGTAATCAATTGTGTTATTATGGATAAATAGTTCCTTTGGCGTGTCTAAGGTGCTTTTTGATAACTCAATTTGTATAACTAAATTCAGCACTTAATAGAATGGTTATCCAATTAAGTGTGCTTGATAATGCAATTTAAACAGCACTTAATAGAATGGTTATCTAATTAAGTGTGCTCGATAATGCAATTTAAATATCACTGAAACCAGTAAGCACCACTTAAATTGGGTTAAAATTTTAAGTGACAAGAATATCAGTTTTCACTCAATGCTAAAATTTAAAAGGATATCAATTTTTTTTTTTTTAATTACCACTTAATAACTTCAACACTTAAAATTCAGCTCTTAAAATTCTCAGTTTTATCAAACAGCACCTAAATATGTAATTTGCATATTTGGCTAATTGGAATGAATTCCTTTGTATAGTTTGTTACTAGATTTGTGTTCGTTCTTTATCACTTGATCTCATTGTTTTGATGAGGAGTGCCTGTCCTTGAGGAAGATTGACTATTCTTTCAGACTTGGAAGAAAATAGAAAAGATCAAAATGTTATAATATGTAATTACATTATTTGCTTATGTTATTTGCCTATATATGAATGAGGAATTACGGGGCTTGACTGTCAATTTAGGCCTTTAGAAAATATATATGACTCTGATATTTATATTACACAATTAAAGTGTTTGCTTTATATTATTTGCATTTATTAAATTGAACTGTCTGTATATTTGCAAAATCATAAATCTAGGTTTTTATTCGTTTCTATATTGCTGCAACATTTGAGTGCGGCCTTCGGAGTTTGGACTGTGAAATTGACTTGTGACTTATGTGCATCTTATGAGTAGAAGCTGTAGGTGATGCAAACAAAGCAATTGAGCTGGATCCTTCGATGGCTAAGGCATACCTTCGCAAGGGGTAAATACACTGTCGTTTATTTATTTAATTTGGGTAAATCTTATGTTGTTCCTTTTTTTGGGGGGTAAATATTTTATGTTGTTCCTTATTACCTTGTACATTATGCTTATTATTTGTCACCATGTCTCAATATTGCAAAATCTTTAATCCACTCTGCATTGGTTACTTATAACTTTTAGATGGAGAATTTATCCTCCCTCTTTGCACAAGGAGAATTAGTTCTGCCTAATTCAGCGTTTGCCTTTGAAATTTGGTTATTCAATCATAAGCTTCTTTAAAAGTGGGAGTGTCTTCTTTATTTCTGGGTTATGAATTTGTGAAGCAATGCATTTTAATTTCTCTATAAATTTAATTTTGAGAATTTTTATAGCTCACATATTGTGGGGTTCCATGGTTCACATGACCTGAAATTCTTAGCAAAAGTGCATTAGGAGAACAAGTAAACTATCTTGTTGTTTTCCTCTAAGTAAAATCTGTGAATCTTTTATAATAAAATTATATGTTTATTTCTCTCTCTCTTCCCCCTCTCCCAGAGGAAGTTTCAGTTAAAATTCTAATGCAATAAATCTTTTTGTGGTAATGTTAGTACTGCACAAACTTAAATTGACCATTCAAATTCATCTTTGTAATTTGCTATGAATATGAATAATATTCTTGTTGACCACACTGCAGTTCTTGTAGGGGCCTCAAACAAAAAGGGAGAGTAGCTCAATATATTTATAGCTATATTATCCGTTTTTCAGTATTCATGCACAAAGATTTTACCTTGCTTATTTGAGAAGGCCAATGCAATGGAGTTCCAGAAATAGCTCATTCTTTATCTAGATGTTACCTAACAAAGAATAATGTAATTGAAGGCTTTGTTTTTTTTTCCGCTGAATATGTAATTGAAGGCTTAGTACCACTGGCGAAATTTTTTTTTTTAAACCTACTTTTCTATTGTATCACAATGTACCAGTTGTTTGCCTAGTTTAATTGGTAAAGTTCTTGGAGTTGTGTATTAGTTCAATTCGCCTGGTTTGCGAGGTTGATAAACATCATTTTGATAGTCCTTGCAATTTTATTATGTAATGAAAATGTCTCTCTTTACATAAATCCCATAGTAATGAATTTTTTTGCTTTAAATTTTCTTCAGAACTGCATGTTTAAGTCTAGAAGAATATCATACTGCCAAGGCAGCACTTGAAACTGGTGTTTCTTTAGCTCAAAATGATTCAAGATTTACCAAGTTGATTAAAGAATGTGATCAACGAATTGCAGGTATGTGATTTTCCAAACTTCATTTGCAATCTTATGACCACCGTACACTATTAAGTTATTAACTTCAATTGCTGTTTCTTTCAGTAATTTGAGACACAAACCAATAGTGGTTGAATCAAAGTGAATAGTTGACCTTGGATCATAGGATTTGTCAATGAATTTTATGAGGAAAAACATGTAGGAATAGAAAATTTAACTCTCTGATAAAGTCATGTATATATTATATTAGAAAATGCAGGAAGTACTACAGATAATGTTCTTAAGTGTGGGGTTTTTTTTTTTTAAATGGTTCATACATGCAAGGGGAGATTGAACAGGAAAACTAGGGAAAAAACTTCAATGCAACGGACATGGTATCTTGTCCACGAGTTGTGCTAGTTTTCAAACTCCTTTTTTTGGGTAATTTTAAATTTAGTAATTATATGTTCCTGAATTTCCTTTTCAATTGTTCAGTAAGTGGTTGATAACAAGGAAACATACTTGCTATTGCAGAGTCGGTATCTCTTTATTACATTTTACATGCTTGTGATCTCATATCTAATTGAAATTCAATGAATTGTTAAGAGGAAGGTAGGGGTACGAGGCCCCTAACGTCAAATATCCCACCAACTGCTGCACATGCTTCTATTGGATCTCAAGCAGTAGGTAAAAATTTTGCAAGTGAGGAAGAAGCCAGGCCAGTACTTAATGAATCACATCAGATGAAAGAGATGGCATCAGTCAAACCAAAGTACAGGTAGTTGCCACTTTTCATGCTTTTACATGTTCAGTACTGTTTAATGAAAAATGGCAGAACAAGTAGTTTTTGGTGCTGTGTCATTGTAGATCTCTCTTTGTGTGCGCGCGCGCAGGCAAGTGTGGGTGTGTATCCTTTAAATAAAAATCATGCTTGGTTATAGGTCCAAGTTTTTGGAGAATTTTAATCCACATTATATTTATACAAGTTGCAAGTGTTAATTATTTTGCATCACAAATTAGAAATAAGTACTTTACCCTGGATCAAGTAATCAAGCATGCAATATTTGGTAAGACACCAGTATTGCCACTACTGTTTGTATTGCCACCTTCTCCGTTAAATGCTTCCGTTACTGTGAGAGTGCGAGACGATTGCCACATTGCTGCCACCATGATGTCACTCCTGTCATTGTTCTGTCAAATATCACAACCAACATCACTGCTATCCATGTTTCTCTTATGCTGTAAATGTATTATAAAACTGCATCCATGTTATGCTCAGTGTGTCATCGTTTCACGGTGTCTCAAGCTAGGTTTTGTTAGGTATTATACTGGAATAAGCAAGCAAAAATTGAGATTGAAGTTACGGAATGCACCATAGAATTCCCAAGTGTCATGAGCTCATGATGCTAGATAGTTATTCAAGGCTTCACAGTGGCATATGATTTGGTATTTAACATCTGTTTCAAAAGAAAAAGGGACCATTTATCGACATGTAGGAATGGATGAAGTGGAAAAATGGTTGCATGTTACTGAATTCAGGGAATTAAGTATACCGAATGGTGAAGTAAGATTCATGTAACGAAGGCTTTGTTGAGTTGAGTCATGTTATCAATGTTTTATGTGGTGAATTTATGTGTAAGATTGTCTAATGTGTGGCAAAAAGAGTATTTTGATCTTTGAACTCTCTTTTCATACATGTTATCTGACAATAATTAGTTAAACAGGCATGCATACTATCAGACACCTGAGGAAGTGGTGGTTACAATATTTGCAAAGGGATTACCAGCAGAAAATGTGGCCGTCGAGTTTGGTGAACAGACAGTATGTTATTCTCAATCAATTTCTTATCCATATAACTGGTCTTCATGATTATGCTCGAAGTTTTTTGCCAGGTGTCTCAAATTTTCTCATCAAAAGTTGATGGCCTAATTCAAAATAATGAATTCTCTCTTGCAGATGAGTGTTAACATTGACATCCCTGGTGAAAATGGGTTTCATTTTCAGCCACGACTATTCCGGAAGGTATTGCGAGGAACTTCTCTAAGTGCTTAACTCCCCCCATATTGTACTGTTTGCCCTTTTTAATGGAATTGCAATCCACATACAATTATCTTCTGTTTGCTAAGCCACATTTTTTATTGGGAGCTTTTCTTCTCTTCTTGAGCCTAGTATACTTAGTTCTCCATAGCATATTGCAATTTTCAGATTCTTTTTTTGTGGAAGGATGTGATCTTCAATTATGCAGTATATCATTTTTAAGTTGTTATTTTTAAGATCTTACCACTTACCTTAGGAAGAGTAGTGATACAATACAAATTCGGAATACAAATCATTTTCCTGTAGGGAAACAAACCAGTCATCAGTTTTACACTAGTTATGTGTGCTTAGCTAAAATAAAATCCTCATGGCCAATGTCGGAACCATGTTTTAAACTGATGTGGGTTTTGATTTTTCTTTTTGTTATTTGTTTGCATGGAGAACAGATAGTACCTGGTAAGTGCAGATATGAGGTGTTATCGACCAAACTTGAGATCCGGCTTGCAAAATCTGAAGCAATTAACTGGACATCTCTTGAATATAGCATGGAAGTTGCAGTTCCACAAAAAATAAATGTGCCATCTGGTGGGTTGCTTGTATACAGTGCATTGATTTAGTGAACTTCCAAAATATAAAAATATTTTGACTTTTTTTCAGTTAAAGAAAGTTCTTACAACTTTGGTGGGCGTAAACCCCACCCCCCTCCCCCACCAACCCACCCAAAAAAAAAAAAAAAAATCCTTGCTAGTTCTGCGGCTCATGTTTTCATGAATTTGCAGCTCTTGGATCCCAGAAGCTAAGATATCCATCTTCAAAGGCAAGAACAACAGATTGGGATAAGTTGGAGGCCCAAGTAAAGAAGGAGGTGATACAACTTTCAACAGCCGTGTTTCTATTGGATTTCATTATTTATTTGTACTTTTCAGATAGAATTTCTTTTACATTATAGTGTGCATCTTTTTCCTATGAAGGTTGAGCTATCTCCATTTACTCATGGTCTTTATAACTTGATTATCTGAGATACAGGAAAAAGAAGAGAAGCTAGATGGTGATGCATCCTTGAACAGGTTTTTTGGGGACATTTACAAAAATTCAGACGAGGACATGAGGAGAGCCATGATTAAATCTTTTGTGAGATTCTTAATATGTTTGTTGTTTCTTATGCCTCCAAGATTTAAAGATTCATTTCTTTTGATAGATATTCTCATATATACATACACGTGCTGTAGAAAAAGCGCAACATGTAGTTTTCTCTTCCAGTTCGTGTATCCAATCCCATATTTTGTGGACTTAATCGTCCATGATGATGATGCTGGGTTAGATTATGTAGCTGTGGGGGCAACACTTCTTATATTTCCTTTGATACTCGGTTAAATTATATTTAGTTTAAAAAATTATTGTTGCTTTGCAGGTCGAGTCCAATGGAACTGTGCTGTCAACGAACTGGGAGGACGTGGGTTCGAAGAAGGTGGAGGACAGCCCTCCTGATGGTATGGAGTTGAAGAAGTGGGAGTATTAAGGAGTCGACTCTGTGGATACAGTGATGGATACTTCCTTTTGCTTTTATCCTATAGCTCCCTCATGTCTTTTAAAATAGTATCATCTTAAGCACCGAGATTAGCTGAAGTTTTTTAAATTAATCCCAAAATGGTGTTTATGCCGTGCATCTGATAATTGTCTGGTTTGGCAGCTTCTCATGGGACAGTTTACAGAAATATCCTGTTTTACTGAATTGATATTGTTTTTGATGGGGCTTATTTTGTGTATTAATTAGCGTTATGTCTTTGCGAGAGGTCCAAAATTTCAATGACCTGTAGATTCATGGCCTGGAGGGGATGCTAGAGATATAAGTAAATAGGTTTGGAAATTGGTCAAATATTTTGTTAGATCATGCAAAAGAAGATAGAAAAAATTTGAAAGTGGAGTGAGGAAGTAATGCCAGTTGTCTTGAAAATGAAACAGATTTTGTTGGGCTTCCATCATCTCAAGTTTTGAAATGAAACATTCAACGAAAAAAAGTTGTAATACATTATATTTAAAATGACTCCATTGAAACACAAATCTATCTCAATCTCTTCACTCTTCTGCGACTTACAGAATGCGACTTAGAGAATACTAAGAGCTATAAGAGTTCGGATAGAACCAATGGATAGATAATAAAAAATTTATCTTTCTCCAAAATTCATGCCCATTTGAAGAGTATATTTTTTAAAAATCCACTACTATTGAAAACTTTTCCAAGATACAATATGAATGTGCAAGCTTTTAATAAATTGGTGGTTCTGGAATTCAAAGAGGGCAAATGCATTAAATGCATGTTTCTTTAAAGACTTAAAATCCCGAAGTGACGACAATGGTTGCTGTTTTCTATAATTAGGGCACTATCAACTGCAGAGAAATTACAGGGGAAAAAGTGATAAGCAAGCAACATGAGGTTACTGGTTTCTCAGTCCACTGCAATGACTATATATCCTCCATAAACAATTGAAAATTGGGTACCATCCAATAGAAAAAATGGGAGACAAATTAAAACGTGACGAGAGATGAGATCAGTGATCGATTAGTTTAAACACAATGTTGAAGAAAGTTGGCATATAAATTTATAGTGCTTACCATACATTAGACAAGGTACTAAAAAGATTCGAGGTTTACTAATCTGTTTCTATCCCTCGTAGATAACCAGTGAACGAAAGTGTTGGAAATGCACACCTTCCAGATCTATCAAACCACATCACCTCCATAACCAATAATGCAAACTAATAAACAGGAAGATAGGAAACTCAGACTATAAACTGTCACAAGAAACATTAGCACATGTATGATAACGCGGATAACTTTACAGGTGACCGGGAAATACAAAATCGGCCATACTATATACAGCCTTACCAGTTGACTCATCGTCAACATCAGTACATCCCTGAAGACCGCTCAGGCAGAACACCTGAACCTCCAGCTGAGCTACTTGACTGAGTCAATGGCTGATTCGCTGCGGGAGAAGTATGGGCACTCCTGTTTGCCATGAGCACATGGAATTCCGGTGGAATACCAGGTGGGGGTGAGGTTATAATTGATGGTGGTCTAGCCGCTTGAGTCGGCTGGGTCGGACGAATTATGAACTGGTTAAGAGCAGCAGAATAGGCAGAACCAGATAGACTTCCACGCATCCGACCTGTAGGTCGCCAGTTTTGCTCTGCTGCTGCCAAATCCACCATACTATCTTCCCTTGTGGTTGGTTGCACCATTCCTCCCGTATTCCCTCTCTGCTCTCCCACTGATGCCTTAAACCCCCCATCAACATTCACCGGGAAAGATGATGTTCGGGGTGTTTGCATTGGAACTGGCATTGACGGTGACCTTCTTGCCACCTGGGCAGCTCGCAGAGCGGTGGCATTCATAAACCGGGCTTGTTGACTAATTCCAGTACCTGCTGCATTACCAACCCCACTTTGTGCACTTCCTTGACGAACTTGAGTTTGTCGGAAAAGAGCAGATGACTGGATCATGCTTGGAGACTGACTTGTGGAATGTGACATCCTTAGGTTCAGAGGCTGCAGCTGTTGTGAGCTTTGCTGCTGCTGCTGTTGTGAGCTGCTGTTGTGAGCTCTATAAGCACTTGGGAGTGGATTTGAAGCTTTAAGGCCAACTACCGGTTGATCCCAGTTCTGTAAGGAAAAAAGTTAATTAAGAACAAAGAAAAGAAAAAAAAAAAACCACAAAATATGCTGAAGAAGAAAACCTAAACCTAAACATATCCAAGCCCAAATGCGATCAAATTGGAAAATTATTCATCCAATCTTTAGTTAACTTTCACTTCATAGATCTCCAGTTTGCATTAGTATTGACAAGGACCTGCATAGCTATCAGACAGCACATAGTCCATTGTAAAACAAACATAACCTGAGTTGCTGAGGGCTGCTGCAATGAAGATGTCATATTTGACATTTGAAGCGGATTCAAATGAGATCTAGAAAATTGCTGCTGCCTTTCCACATCACTGGAGACTGCATCAAAAACCTCTGCAATTGTTGGTAGAGCGCGAGAAGTCTGAGAAGGAAGCGACATACCATTGGGGTTCAAAGTATTCAAATTATTTCTTGATCTTTGTTGTGACACTGGTGTCAGGGTTGGAGCCGGAAGGGCCTGAACTGCAATCGGCGTTCTGTTTACATGTCTGGGTATTGATGGGAACCTTCCGTATTCATTGGCAGAAAATGCATTCCCAAAGTTTGTCTGCTGTAAATGCAAATTACTGGAAGAAGGAATTTGACTTTGGGATACAGAGGTATCAAGAAGAGTAGATCCATGAAGAGCCCCAGCTTCTCGATTAAGAGCAGGAGAAACAGCATCAGTTAACACAGGTGACAGCATAGAAGTGGTAGGAAGGGATCCAGAAACACCACCAAAGATTTGGGCAACTGATGAAGCATCGGGTATCCCTGATCCAGAAGTTGACAAGTAAATTCCTGACCAGAAGTCATCCTCTACATGAGAAGCATTGTTTTGACTAATCTCGCTTGGATTGTTAAATTCTGCAGGAACAGTCAGATTCTTAGAATTAGTTTGACATAGAACATTAGCCAGAACAGGTTTCCTGTCTTCAGTTTCACATGTACCCATTACATCCATCTCATCAGTCTCCTCGGTGAGATCCAAAATATCTGGAACAGCATCAGAGAAGCTAGTAGATTTTTGCAAAGCAGGCCCATCTGAGGGCCTATCATGTGGCAGGTCCTTTTGGTCATTGCTTTCCGTAACAGCTTTCCATGATCCATCTGCAGCTATAATCACATCAGCAACATTCTTTTCCACCTCTCTCAAGACCTGAAGAAGAATCAATGGCATTAATAATAAAATTAAAAAATGTATATAATAATATACCAAAACAAACTCTGTGAGAAAAACGTGAATTCAGAGCTACTTTCCTTGACCATATTTTGATCGACACGGATATCTGTGTAGCAGACATATTGATTACAATGCGGGCAACGCCATGATGGTCTTCTTGTGTTTATGTCCACAAAGTTGTCAAAATCAAAACACTAGAACCAAAAGAATCAGAAATATTGAATATCACTTTAGGAATGTAAACAGAAAACAATAGAAGGGGTTAAAGTTAAATTAAACAATGCAGAAAAAAATTTAAATAATACTTTCGATATATAACAGCAAAATTTTAGTTCCTTAAAAAAAACAGGTATTTCAGAAATTTGTTCTAATTTCTGCGTTTCGATATTATCAATATTTCATATTACTGAAATTTTTTAATATTTTGGCATAGTTTCAAGAGGAACATTTTCAACATAACTAAAATCTTAGCCAATATATATATATATATGTATGTATGTATGTATGTATATTTGACAGCGTAAATCAAGTTTAACAGGTGATAAAGCAGTACATCTTATGCACCAACATACACAGAACTACAGAAGGAAGGTGGACCATCATTTTAAGAGATTTTCAGAGATTTCTTGGATGAGATTTGTACTAATTGCAGATCCCGAAGAGATCGTCTATTCACAATTGTGCACCAATGGGACAAAAGAAGCACAACTTCAGGTAGCCATATTCTTGAGTATAGATGAGATCAAAAAGCCAAGGAAGAGAGACTAGTCAGAAAAAAATAAAACCGAATTACTTGGACCTTATCACAGTTTGGATTCAGCAAGGTTGAGTACTAATTGCAGATCCTGAAGAGATGTCTATTCATAATTGTGCACCAACAAGACAATAGAGGCACAACTTCAGATGGCCACATTCTTGAGTACAAATGAGATCCAAAAGCCAAGGAAGAAACTCCAGTCAGAAAAAAGGTAATTATTTGAACCATATCACAGTTTTGAATCAGCAAGGTTGAGTACTAATTGGAGAACCTGAAGAGATCATCTATTCACAGTTGCGCTCCAATGAGACAGAAGAGGCACAACTTCAGCTGGCCACATTCTTGAGTATAGATGAGATCCAAAAGCCAAGGAAAAGGAAGAGACTCCAGTCAGAGAAAAGGGAATTACTTGGACCTCACCACATTTTGGACTCAGCAAGGTTAAGCCCTCAGTAGCATGGACACAGATACAACATGACAACAACAATATGCCCACAAAGTGAATTATGGACATATATCGAGGACATGGCACTATATATATTTATAAAAATTTATATAAATTTTAAGACAACATAGTTTAAATTAATTTTCTAAATTTATATGCTAATACATTATATGAAAGATGAAACTAGATGTGGACACATAGGACAACAATATGTTTATTGTAAAATAGCAGTATCCTATTCGTTTTTTAGGACTTATTAGTGGTTCAAGTAGTACATTTTTATAGTATATTCTTGTTTTTACAAGTACTTTAATTATCAAAGTTATATTTCAAAATTTTAGGACCTTCTCGTGGCTATTGTGGTGGAACTTGAATCTTATTCGGCTAATATGTTTAAGTGTATTGGTTTTAGAAGGTTATAAGAGTTTTTAGGGTTCTACGAGCCCTATATGGTGTGAAACATAAGCCCTCGGAATAAATAACAATTGAAGAAATTTCCAAGAGAGGTTGCATCAAAGCTCAACAAATAAAGTATCCATAAATATATGATCTAGTAGCACTAATTTTTCCAACATTAAAAAGTTTCAATTGCATGATTAACTAGTAGTTGGCTTCTTATCATGTCAGATTTTCAGTTCTTTTTACTTCAAGTGTTTTATCCTTCAGAATTGCTCCTTTCTTGAACTTTTTATACTACATAAGTCACTAGTTAGAGAGTATCCAAGATCTGTCAGCTCAGTGTCATATAAAATTCATTACTTATGTATATATATATTACTTATTTGTGGAATATGAAGTTTTATAAAGAATTGTATTATTTGCTGATGATATGATCATACTTGATAAAACTAGAGCAATTATAGGTGCTAAAAGTTAAGGCCTGGAGAGACAATTCAGGAAAGTTTAACATAACTAAAATTGAATATATGGAACATAATTTTAGTACTAGAAGTACAAGTGGAAATATAAGAAGATTGAGGGTCAAGAGACACCAAAAAGTAAATGTTTTCATTAACTAGGTTAGATTGATTATACACCAAGAGGGACAAATGTGGATTATACAAGCATATAATTAGAGCAAGATGAAATTAATGGAGTACTGCATATTATGCGATCAATGTACACCTTTAAAATCAAAAGGAAATTGCATAAAATAGTAATTAGACCAATCATACTTCATAGGAAAAAACTTTAGGAATTGGATGACTAGGTAACAACATATTCACAAATTGTGTGGGGGGGGAAATGTGAACTTTGAGATAGATATGCAGCAAGACAAGAAATGATAAAATCAGAAATGCACACAGTCATGAAACCATTGAAATAGCACGCATTGGAGATCAAATGAGAAAAGATTGATGAAGATGGTTCAGTCATTGTTTGTACTATATTTCAAAATTCTGAAATTAAGCCACATGGCAGAAGCTGAATGGGTTCATAATAAAGCAGAAATTATGGTGGCAGTTTGGTAAACCTAATTGATTATAAGGACAATGATTTATTGGTATATGCAAGGTTTGGTGAGGGACACGTGGCAAGAGAAATAGGCGTCAAGAGATAAAGGATATCAGTTACACAGGTACTTTTTAATTGGACACACGGCAACGGAATAGAAGAAAAGGGAGATGAAGAGACCCTACAACACTTGGACTTTGAATTCAAATTAGCAGTTACATGTAACTGCTAGTTGTTTTGGGTATAAATAACAGAGAAAGAGACCTTTGTAGTGGTCCCTCGACCAACAGAAGTCATTTACAATGTAATTTACTTCTCTTGTATTTCCTTTCCTTTTCAATAGCAGTATTGTAGAATTGGATTACCAACAGGCCAGTGGCCTAGCGATATCAGCCTCTTACTTCTCAAAGAAAGGTCAGGGGTTTCAAGTCTCAGAAGAGACAAGTGTGTGTGAGTACCAACTAGGAAAAAAAAAAAAAAAATTAAAAAATTGGATTACTTAGTCATTTTCCAACTCTTGTCCGGTACAAGAATTACTAGTATGGAATACATGTAAATACCACTGTGTTTTTATTCTGTCGCTTTCTTAGCATTGTTTCCAAATTGATTGTGTAAAAGTCCTCGTTTTAGAGGCAATCGGAACCCAATGAGGAAGGGCCATTCCTACTTCCTCCCGTCGTCATCGATTAATCGCGTCTTATAGGGATCGTTTGGCAAGCCTAAAAAAATAATTTAAGCCAAACAGTCATGTAGAGTACAAAACAACAATTGCGGCAATAAGAAAGAGCGATGTGGTCCACATTGAACAGCGATGCTACAGAAAGAGGATCAAAACTAACATGGGTTGAGATAGTAGGAAACAATATCGCAACATGTGGTTTGACTACAGTTATTGCATTACACGGTGTGAAATGACAACAAAATTCATGTTACCCCAAATATTTAGAAAGAGTCTTTTTTGAGTAGAGTATTTTTCATTTATAAAAAAGTCCAAGAAGTGTTGAACACAAGTAAAGACATGTCCAGAGCTCTTTCTTTCACACTGACTATCTTCGGGCACTTTTATTGCTTAGCAAGCTTTGCTCTAAAAGCCTGACATCAAGAATTTGGTCTCCAAGCAGGGGAACAGAAAGGAGGGTTATAGTTCAAACCTCCATCATCAACATTTGGATCAGGAAAATGAGCCATAAGAGGAAGGGGTGTTGAAGCAGCCATACAGCTTCACTCGGGATCAGCCTTAAATAAACCATTCTGGTTGACTCTGCTAAACTTGATTCTTTAATTGTTGATGAAGAATGGAAAATTTTTGGTGGAGTGGTGACGAAGAGAAGAAGAAGCATGTTGACCGGGTCATTCTCACCCAGTTTTTCGCGCTGAATCCCACATCTCCAGACTCTCTAAGCGGAGTAAGAAAGTAGGTGTACATGGACTTTACAACTTTCATACTACTTAGGTCGGACCAATCCACTTTCTCTACAATATAAAATCCTAGTATTCCAGACACAAGTTATGCTTTCCTCTATAATACATGATGCAAATGGAGCATTCACCTGAAGATGTTTGCACGAATGTCCTTTAACAGGAGTGTTAATACGCCTGAAGCTGTATGAGATTGAGAATCAAAATGAATCAATCAGCAGAAACATCAATGTGATTCAGGAAACACACAGGATAAAAAGTCACGATCTTTATAAAAATTTCTATCTGCTTATTCACACACACAAGGCAAAAAGTTAAAATCAATATAACTTTATAAGGAAACAAATTATCAATCTGAACAAGCCTTGTCATCAGTATTCCTTAGATAAAGAAAGGACCACTAGAGTACCCAAAACATGCATATACAAAATCATTTTGAGATCCTCATAGGTGGTCAAACTTAAAAGGCCAATTCCACATATTTCAAAATGTTCCATGAAAGCTCATACTCTTTTAAAAGGGGAGGGGGAAATTACACACCAAACTTCTTTTTCATATATAAATGATACAATGATAACATTGTTTAAAACATAAAATGACCACAACAAAAAAGGAAAAGAAAAACACAGCAACATTCTATCATATGAATGGTTGGAAATCTATCTCTGTCTATACATATTTATATATATATATATATATACTACTCACGTGGGATGCACGTGAGCAGAACTCTTTTATATATTCGTAATTATAAAAAAATATATAAATGACCAAAAACACAGATAAAAGAACAATTTTATTTTTATGTATAATTTTTTTTTTATGAATTTGGGTCACTTCTAAACTGGACTTGAAGTATTTTCATCAACATTTATTAGTATCATTACACTATCATTATACTATATATGTATTAGTCTTTTGTGTTTTTATAAATCAAATATGGGATCAAAGAGTACCTTTGCTATAGAACATGGCTCCTCTTCCTAAAAAAGAACAATTTTATTTTAATACTATTGATAAATTTAAATGAACTGTTTTTTATCAATAACTTTTGTGAATTTATTGAGTTTGTTTATATTAATATATAAAATGTGATTAATAAAATTTCATTTCTATTACTATTCTCAATTAGAGAATTTCTCAAAGAATGTGTTTAATAAGTTTGAAATGCAGTTTTACATGCTGATGGAGTCTATGCAAACGGACAGGAGGACACACACACAAATACACGTATTTGAAAAAAAGAAATGCATATATAGTGTGAATTTATTGAGTTTGTTTATGTTGAGAGTCCTAATTAAAGTGAAAAGAGATATATTTAATTATGAAAAAAAGAGATATATTTAATATAATATATAAATGTGATTAATAAATTTTAATTTCAATTAATATTCTCAATTAAAGAAACTTGCAAAGAGTGTGTTTAATACGGTATTTGGAGTTTGTTAAAATAAATAGAAGAGTTTGTGTTTAATGAAAACTCTTTTATACATTTTTTGGATAATAAAATAAAATAATATAATACAAATATATATATATATATTTGGTCGGAAACTCTTTGTACTTTTAACAATAGTATAGATATATATATGTATATATCATTATGTGAATGGAAATTTACTTGCTACACTTCCTTTTTCAGTAAGAATATTTAACATCTTAAATAAAGAAAATTTCCTCGAAAAAACACAAACAAAACAAAACAAGGTGGAAGGAGTATCATACTAACTATGTCAACATAGAACTTGAAATGGTACTAGATAGAAAATAATTGCATCAGTGGGTAGTGTCATAAATAAGGATAAAACTCATAGGTACACATTCGTTCAAAATAAGATGAGAGCTATAAGATAGCTCAGAAGGAAATCAGTTGGAATACGACACTCTCAATATGTGGATTTTCATTATCTTTAAAATTATGGAAGAAAAAACTTCTTAAATTTAATTTTCCGGCAATAAGCACCTAAAAGTATTGATCAAACCAACCTATTCAAAGGACTGCGAAAGCAATTACACGTTTTGATGTGAGAAGTTGCGTTTTGGTAACAAAAAAATATTAATTCACAAACAACCCTGTAGTACACAAGTTTACATGAACATAATTAACCAATAAAAAGGAACCAAGAACTTCCCATTGGAAAGACTTCATGGATAAGAATATAACACATGCAAGCAAAACAACAGGTGTTCCCAAATGGAGTTGAATAGCATGGGTTGCTTTAGGAGGAGAAATTTGAGCATAAAGATTTTACAAAATTTAAACACACTCAGTTAAAACCCAATCAGAGAGAGGAGATCATAACAGAACTTCCTTGTAGTCACTCTAGCAGTAAGGGTGCAGGAGACCCGTACATTTCCTCAAACCACACTGTTCCAACAGGTCTCCATACAAAAGAAATGTGTTTAAATCAGAAAGTACAGAAAACCAATAACATAGTGATATGTTTAAAGTGGAGTAACAGATGCATGTAGGATTAAATTACTGATGTAACTGGGGAGGGATAGGTATTCGATCTACAAGAACAAAAGGGTGCATGTGGAAATACTCAAACGGCAAAGTTTTGAAAGCCTTGACTGTATGATGGCATACCTTATGGGACAATTTAGTGATATTCGTGATGGTCCTTCGATAATCTCAAAATCTAATGTGAAAAAAAAAAAAAAAAATGACTTGATCAGGATCTGGACATCTGTTAATGAAATGAACAGAACCATTTGCACAAAGCAGCATTTGTGATTGCAGACAGTTACTATAAATATATATTACATGACATATTTTCCTGTTTCCTTCCTTTACTGGGCATACCTGAATCAACTGCAGCAACAGCAGGCTGGACATAATCTTGTAGGACAGGCCGGTCAAGGTTTGAGATCACACTCATAAAGGCAACAACTATAATGTAATTTCCTTTACAATGAATACAGACAGTCAAAAAGCAGATAAATTCAAAGAACAAAACCAGGAAATGTTGGACATAGAAGGCCCATAATCAAGCATACCATTGAACTGGCCCACGGCTTGTAGAAGATTTGTTCCATACTTGAGCATTGGCGACACAATTGTTGGAGTTTGTGGTCCACTATCCTGATTAGAAGGTCAAATACATAAAAATACCAAGTGTTACAATTTGCATAAAATAGTAACAGATAATTCTGTCAGATACAACGAATTGTCTGTAATTACCATAAAAACATTATTTCTTCTGTGCACTCCCTTACCATTTAAGAGAAAGCTGTGCAAGTTAAACAGAAAAGAGAATCTGGTCAGAATAAATTTGAAATAACTCTACTAAGTCAAAAAGAAGGAAACAAGACATACTTAACTCGTGGGGGACTTATGAGACAGGCAGATGTTTCTATATTATCTAACTGAGCCACAAATAACCGCTGCAGGCAAAAGAGAAATAGAATATTAATAATAACATGAAAAGGCAGAAGGGAAAAATGAATAAAAGAGCAGTTTCAAACAATAGGTGCACCCCTTGATAATTTAACTAACCCTGAAGAAAGATATATATGTAATCTTAGCTCACCCAAAGAAAAGATGGGTAGAAATAGTTTAAAGCTGGTTGTTAATTAACAATCTCAAATTTATGGACTGCTTCCAATGAAATATACTAAGAAAAGAATGTTGCGTAAAAAATATATAATATGCAGGCTAAGTGAATATTCTGACATTGGGGAACCATCCGGAACAGGAATCAGCTCCTGAATTCAACTAGGTACATATATTGTAGAAGGAAAGATCAAGCAGTCATCCCAACAATTGGAATGAATTTGCAGGGATAAGTAATCTATACCAACCAATGAGTAAAAGGTATAGAAATAATAATGATTTCATGAAAGGTCAGTCATTGCTTGATGCAATGGTCAAAGTTCAAGGTATCAAACGTGTGACCACAAGTTCAAGTATGATGGCAGCCTCGATGAGATTTAAGCTGGACATTATGTCTATACCCAATCCACTCCTCCCAATACCTTGGATAAATGAGACAACCACGAATAATAGCAATATTTTTAAACTGATTTCAAATAAATAAATACAGGACAGAATTCAGCAACATAAAGATGGTCAGCAGCCAACAAACATGACGTTTTTTAATAACAATAATAATACAAATTGAAGAAAACCAAAAATACAAAAAACTGATAAGCTTTTCAACTCACATCATATATATTTATTATTATAAACTCAGAAGGACCTTCTCCAAGCATATAGAACTTGATTTCTCAAATAGATATGAGTACAAGAGATGCTTACTATTTTTTCTTCTGGAGAAAAATTTGTATTCTTTGAAATATGGAAATCGATCACAAAAGTCCCATAACCAGGCTACAACACAGATATAAAAGATATATTAATACCGTCACTACTTCAAATAAATAAATAGTTAGGAAGAAAGGGATATAAGATCACCTTCGCTTCAAGAGACGCAAGTATCTGACCAATTTTCATCTGCGGATAAAATCTACATAGAGAGAAGGAGCATTAATTAGTTGCAAATGTAATTTGTTTACTGATCAATGATTCAACATCCTACACAACAAAACATTTTTATGCATATCACAAAGAAGAAAACATTACAAGCTGTGCCACACAATTTGAAAAAACCTACTTTTGCAGTTGTCACTTAAACATTTAAATAGCACTTGCTCACAAATACGCATCAAATTGATTAACATATGAAATATGTGAAAATGATCATCAAGTCATAAAAATTTACATAACTATTAGCCACCATGAGCTAACACAATGCTATTCCTAAAGAAAAAAGCAACTGCAGTGTGATAGTCAACCCCTGTGATTCACTTGAGTCAGCCTTAATATTAAACCTGACAATATACCATGTCAACTGCAGCTGGGAAACATTTTTATATGTTGTATGATTGAACTGAATTTTTTTGAGATAGTATTAGATTTATGACCAACCTAGACACAATCCTAAAATTGGTCAACTTTTTACCAAGGACCATTACCATGTGGTGGTCTTGCCTATGTGGGATGCTAGGATGGAAAGATTGGAATAGACCAGACTTTGGCATTATTTTACACAAAGTGGCTGCTTGCATCCTCAAGGTTATCAACTCGAGCTTTTTACTATTACACCAAGCAACAGCCCCCCTAAGATGATCAACTTTGAAACTACAAAAAAAATAATTCATTGCCATTACTCGAAGGGAAGAAAAAATTTAGTGGAATAGAAATTGAAGGCTTGAAGTTAAAATTTTGCTTATGCGAATGGAAAAAAGCTACAAAGTTGAGAAGTCAGAATTTTTATGATCATTGTGCTATGAGGTTTAGTGTCACGATCCGCCCGGCTATGTAGATATTGTCCGCTTAGCACACTCCCCATGCTCATGGTTTTCAAAATGCAACTACACAGTTAGGAGGCATCTACACAGTTAGGAGGCATTCACACATGTAAATGCTAGCAACTTCTCCCCCCAAGTGATGTAGGGCATAACAATCACCCCCTCTTGGAACCCAGCATCCTTGCTGGTCTGACCCTCATCGACTTGTGCACTCTTCCCCCATTTTCAGCTGGGGATCAATACTGATACCAAATTGTCGCAACCTGCCCCGCTATGTAAATATTGTTCGCTTTGCACTCGACCTGCTCACGGTTTTCAAAATGTGTATACACAGTTAGAAGGCATACACATAAAGTGCCAACAACTTGTCCCCCCGTACCCCTTTTTTACAGCAAGAAGCTGGTCACATTTTCCATGTTGAGTATAGGGAAAAAGGACTTCCCATACGGAGTCCCACCCTTGCCCTCAAAAAAAAAAGTAAGAGATGATGGATATAAAATAAGAGAGTAGCTACTCGGCTAACATAATAATGTTTTGTACAATCCACTAAACCAAAACCATATGAAGACAGATTATCCATTTTCTTGACAGAGATAACTTAATTTTAATTGGTTAAGAGTAATACTGGAAAGAGACATACCAGTCAGGGCAATCCCCCCATGCATATTGCCTTTGGATTAACCTACCTAAAACAAATTTATAACATAACCAACAATAATGCAATCAATGGCCTATATGGAGCCTTGCCCACAGACTAAGACAAATGGGGATAGAAATAAAGAAAAAGAAAAAAATTGAGAGAGATTTTCTCTCATTGAAACATCCAAGCCCTCGGTAATTACCTACCAACGAGAGATCCTGTGCAAAAGTAGCCCTTGTACGCGAGGGTTGCCACTAGTGTGATAAATGAAACCATCCCACCCAAAAACCACTCGGAGCGATTCTAAGAAAAATGTCTTCCAAGTGTGTTTTTTTTTTTTTTTTTTTGGCATTCCCCTATTTGGAGTGCTTGTATTATTGGTTGGCTAACACTATCTTCAATATAACCTAGTTCTGCTTCTTTGATTCACAGTATAATAGACACACCATCACTGTACTTGCTGCCAAAACAATCATCAGCACCCAAGAACATCATGTGATCGATAGCCAAATTTTCAACCCTTAATATAGTCATCATTTGCAAGAAATTTTTTAATTAAACAAGATTAGCAAAATATCTCATATAATTTAACTAAAAATGAAGATATTCCGAAAGAAGTAACACAAATCAGAACATAACAAAATATCCTACCTCGACAGAATTTTTGAGATAGTTGGAAGAGAACTACTTGCTTCAGTGCTGAAGTCTCTTGCACTGCAGAAGCTGCTTCCTATCTAGATATGCAGTGGGTGGCGGAATTTAAGATGAGCAACAGTTTGATACAATATGAAGCCCATAAGTGGAAGTAAGGTGCTTAAAAAGAAAAGTTAAAGTGAACTCAAAAAACTGCTAACAAACCTCATTTGCAAGAGAGAGAAGTTCTTTGGAGTCCTTATCTGAAAACCATCCAATCTTGCAAGCATTCTAACAAAGACACGACCAGGTCAGTATGAAAACACCATACCAACAAGAAAAAATTTAAACATGCAGTTTATGGGCATCATTAGAGACTGTTGAGTAAAATAGAACATATTGAATGGCATATACTCAACCGAAAGGAAAAAATAATGAAATTGGACATCGGCAAGCCACTGGTAAAATTGAATGGTAATGAGGAAAGAGGCTCTATATTCACAAATACTATAATACATTTAGGCCTATCAGTACACATCACCTGCAGTTTCAAGTGAGTGATGTAGCCAAGACCATTCAAATAGATATCAAAATTTCTTGTTTATAATTACTATCCATTTGATTTTTATCTACTAGCAAGTAAGACAAACAAAACTGATGAGTTATAGGTTTCTTTCACAGCAAATTACACTCCCCATTCAAATGGACTTATGGACATCAGTATAAGATCAAAAGCTTTAAACTTTTAAGTTTGAACCAAAATGAAAAGCACTAGCAGTGTGAAAAACAAGAAGTAAGAAGCAATTTACAGCTTGACTTAGTACCCAGCTGCTTCAAGTTCAAACAAAGAAACAATGATTGTATTCAGGAAGTACCTTTACAGAGATCATCAACACCATAATAGCTGCTTGTAATAAGGAGTCATTTTTACGTTGACATACCTATACAGCAAACTCTAGTGAAATAAGAACGACTGATAGCTCCAAATAATTCATTTATATATTAAACAAACAGAAAGTCAGACTGGGAAAAAAATCTGAGGAATACTAATTCATTAAATATCCTAAAACTGAGGCATAAATTTAAGATGAATATATGAACACAATGCATAAATAAATCATAAGTAGACAGCAAGAAATGCATAAACCGGAAAGCAGGAGCCCTGAAGTGTGTGTTCGATTTCTAACAGAGACAATAACAGTTTAATAATAGAAATTTAAAGTCGGTAGTTCTCACACGAGTGAAGATAAAAGACCCACAAGCAACCACTACAATTATATTGATTGAGAAAGGAAAGAGAAATTGAGTTGGCTGCACATACAATTACACCAAGGTAGATGATAAGGAAGTGCCTCCTTCCCACACAAAAGGAGAAGCTCTCTTATAAGACAAGAAGGTTAGCTATGCCTCATGGAACAAATGCTAGAATAATTAAGCAACAATGGATTTTCAAAATGGTTGCAATTGAAACCAGAACGTTAAAATGAATGAGTAACAATATAAAGAACGAAAACCTATGAAGCACGGATACGGCTGGTACAACAAGATACTGGCATGGCTATATGTCAAATTTTAAATAAAATAAAAAAAGTCAGACACAACAAGGATCCGTCAAAAATATATATATAATATATTATTACATGAACAAAAAATTGAATTTTGCCCATTTTTTTCACATTAGCTTCTTTTCTTCTTGTTTTTTCCTGATTCCATTTTTTACACATTATCATAAACGTAATCAATAATTTAGAGCATAGAACAGTATAGCTCTTGTTATTGTTTTCTAAAATATTATATTATTTTTTAATTAACCATTGATATGTTTTAAAGTTGCATTAGAACTCTGTTTTTTCTATAAAAATAAATAATTGCAAAACTACCCAGTCATGTCCTTAAAGTGTCCCCGCAAGGCCCATGTTGTGTCTGTGCCATTTTTACACTGCCACAGCACACCTAGAGAAGTGTCCATGCATCCTAGACACAAACACATGGAACAAATCAATTCGTGGGAAGATTGAGGCAACACCAACTAAGGACAATTCGTGACAAGATAAAGTCATCTAAGATAGTGTATAAAGCACAATATTTCTATGAAGGAGCTGAATCCATAGTGGATACTGATACATCCCGAACATCCGCAGATTAGTGTCCAATACTTCATATATGTATTCATAATTTGAAAATAATTTTGTATTTCGAATATGTATCAGATACTTGTGAGATACTCTGGGATATGGGGATACGTATTTGACTCATCTTGAACATTAAAACATCCTTTTCAAATATAATATCAGAGTAATTTTATTAGAAAAAGTATTAACAACATTTCCAATTATTAGAATAACTTTTTAATAAAAATTATAATTATGACGATAATATATCCCAAATTTTATGTCCGCACAATATAACTTTCCAACTTGTTTGTCTTAAGAACTTATAAAGAAATTTACTAATTTTTCACACTGTTCTATGTACTAATTTTTTGTCAAACAAACAAGTAAACTATTGAATTTGGAGCAAAAACTCCATTGTTGTCAATTGCCATTTAAAAGTAACAGTCACATGACTTACATCATCATCCGACAATAAAGTTTTGTGTTGAGACCATAACTATTGTCACAGTTCCAATAAATTAAAATTAAATTATGTTTAGTACTGCATTAAAACGAATCACACATTTTTATGTTGGAAAAAAAAAAAAAAAAAAAAAGGACACTTTACATATAGAAATACCCATTTTGACACAATAGTAGATCTGGCCACATAAATTATTCCAAATCCACATGATAATTCAACAAAGATTGACCATATATGAATACAAACTTAACATCTGTGAGGAGGAAAAAAATACCCGTTTTAACAGTAATAATAAATCTGGCCGCATAAATTATTCCAAATCCACATAATGATTCAACAAAGATTCACCATATAAGAATACAAACTTAACATATGTAAGAAGGCACAAGCCTGCATACACCAATGATGGCAAATTTTTGTTTCAAGATGGTAAAATACTAACATCCTATGTTTACATCATTTAATGTAGTAACAACACCAATGTCTGTAAAGTGATGCAACAAAAATCCTGAAATTAATATCCACGTAACATGACAGAAACAACCTGTTTTAACATAAAAGGTAAATCTTGAACCTTGCCCGGAACTTCGTTGTTTGCAACAGCATAGTCAATGCCTCTGTATTTGTCAAAGTATATCTAGTCAACAGCAGTGAATATATATATATATATACACACACACAATTATACATATAGATATATATGTATATGTGAAGACAGAAGAGTAATCTATTCAAATTAAGACCGGTAGGATAAAAAAAAACACACGATAAAAATTTAAGAATTAGGGATAGTAGTCATATATATGTATACACACACACAGATAATACTATCTCAATATAAGGCTATACCATGCACCATTCCACTATTAGAGCAACAACGAAATAAATCTAAAAGCAATCAAACCATCAATAATGGACTGCATCATGGGGGATTAAAAAAAAAAACTGCATCATAGATATGCAAGTCAAGTAAACATGTAAGAAAGATATTTGAATAGAAAATATAACAAGAATTCGCTATATGGATTACTCTCAGTTGAATCCAAACCTTGCTCTTCAACTCAATCCTATCGTTTCGTATTTCCGCACAAGGTGTAGAACATGAAAAACTCAAGTATCACGCTATTGGTACTTTTTTTTTTTTTTGATAGGTAAGTATCACGCTATTGGTATTTACATCGTCAACATGCTCAACAACATCCTATCATCAAGCAACTAACAAAATAGGCAGGCATGAGAATGCCCAACTGCAGCCCCTTTGAATTGAAATGAATTGATGAAGATACAACCACTCATAGCCACCTCTGATGCTATAATGCTACTACACTCGTCAAATTTTGCCAGAGGTTCTTGGTTTTATAGGTCCTGAGTCTTCCAAAAGCCAAGCTTTCATTGCATTTATCTTTTAGCACTAACATATAGTAATGTGACATAGCCCTATATAGAGCTTAATGGCATGCGTCAAAACCCAAATAGAAAGGGCCTAAAACTTTGCAAATGCAGTTGTTATTACAGTTTTGGTGAAAACTCAGACAGGAATAAAAGATCTTAAGGTTATACATCACATAAGCTAATTGGTGGATTTTCCAATGATTAATTGGTGGAAGAATGTTAGCAAATGTAATTTATTAGAATTCTCTATCTTCACATGAAAAGGAACCTAATAAACAGGGACAAAAACATAAAGAACCTCCTCTGTTGCGAGATTGCATGCACATTATTTGTGGCTTGAAAGATTTTATTGAATTTTTAATTTAATGTAGGGCATTTTAATAAATCCTACTTTCATGTATTATTAATTTCTCTACTGTGTGGCTTTGCAATATTTTATTGCGGGGAAATAGTTACTTTCCAGGTTCTTTTCTTAATCGGATTAGGAAATGATTTAAGAAATTAAGTAACTAGATTAATCTAATATCATAGTGATAGAGTCATAGAATGGAGATCATTATGTAGCAGCAAATATTGGCAAATACCACAATTATAACTTCAGAGTCTACTGAATTGCCAGCAAAATATATACAGAATATAAGCTCAAATCAAGACATGTTCATTTGTCAATGAACTAAAAAAACCATTCGCTCATGTTGTGTAAGCATAACATCTCATGTGACAACTCATCATACACATACATGTTCATTCGTCTGTTAGCTGTTGGTTTGTGGCACATTTGGAGGGAGAGAAATTCAAGGCTTCGTGGTTCTGAGTTATTGTCTACTGATACTGTGGTTAGATATTCTCTTATGGAATGTCTTGAAGTTCAGAATGCTACTCTTGATGATATTCTTGTATAGCTTTTGGTTGGTTGTTCTTCTATTGTATTGGAAATGGGCCTTCTCATTATATTTGTTTCAGCTTGATTTAGTGGCCTATTTTTCATTTCTCTGAGGGTAATGCCCTCTATGCACGTGTACTTCAATTCTTTATCTTAATAGAGGCAAAAGAATCCAAGGGCTAGCAACGCTAATTGCAAGAAAAATACAAAGTAGCCAAACAAATCCCATAGGTCTTACAAAGCCCAAACCCTACTCTGGCTCAATAAAAAAGAACCAAAGTAAGTCCTGATCCAGATTGAAATTTGACAAGAACAACATTTAAAAACACATTTTCAACAAATTACAATTCCACAAAACAACATAATAATGCCTATTTCACATCGTCAGTCCATCATCAGATATACTAAAAATCCACAAAAAAATTAACTGCAATGAACTCAAAACCAAACATAAGAAAGAAATAAAATACGCCAATTTCAAACCAATAACAAAAAAAAAAAAAAAAAAAAAAAAAAAACACGGAATAGGGAAAAAAAATACAAATATATTTACATAAGCATGTAATAATAATGTCTATGTTAATTGAAGGTTAAAAGTAGTAGGACCTGGCAAGGGAGAGGCAGAGATTGAAGAACTCAACGTTGTCGTTTTTTAGCATACCGTAAACGTACATAGCTAATTGTTCAACTACGGCAGAAATACGAAACTTGTTCAAAAGTGACGTTATCAATGGGCAGTCTGTAGAACCGCCAGTAATTGACGCTGGAGTAATCGCATGTCCAGCCATACAAAATGCTCGCTCTCTCTCTCTCTCTCTCTCTCTCCCCTGAACCCTAGCTTTCTCTCCCCGAATGGACCTTCTTAAATCTGTTTTATATTCAAAATACAGAGTTTTATGAGAAAACTGTGTTTTTTAAGTTTCCTTTTTTTCTTTTTCTTTTTTCTCTTTTGACTTCTGATTATATGAGAAGATAGGTCTTGTTGTGGTTTTAATTACGATTATACCTCAGTTGGTTGGTAGTAATTTTGAATTACTAATGTGTCGACTCTATTAAGAGCTAAGTCGGCACTCGAAATGGACATTTTATAAATTATAAGAAAATGGTTTTGTTATCAGATGAATTTGTTCTACTTGAGTTTTAAAATGCTTTTGTGGCAGTTGTTTATTGGTCGAATAATTAATTATAAGAATTATGGTAAAAAACTGAGACTATCCAACTTGTCTTAGGCCTATTTGATTAAATGGAAATTATAAGTGAGAAGTAAAAATAATAAATAAAGTGAGTAAAAAGAATTTTTCAATTTTTCAATATTTGGTCATGAAAATTTTTCAAGAAAGTTATGAGAAATTCTTAATTTAAGTTTTGGATGACAAGGAACCTATAAGAAAAGGAAGAAAAAAAAAATCACTATTGTAAGCTCATAAATATTTTCTCAAAAAATCAATCAATATGTTCCTTTATTTTTATAAAAATATTTTCATGAAAGTTAGGTGGTTATGTAAAACTAGTCTCTCGCTATTTACTTTTCTTGCTATCCAAACTCCTAAAAGTGTTTGGAAAATTTTCCCTTCATGTTTTACTATTTCCATCTATTACGTTCTGTTTGCATAACTAGAAGGAAAAAGAATGGAAAGGGTAACATTTAGTTACGAAGGGAAAAAGGAAATGAGATAATAGTGTTAATCACTCGTCGAGTTTAAATAATTAAAGAGGATAAAAAAATAATAATGAATAAAAAAGAAAGGGTAGTGATAATTTTTTTATCCTATTTTAAAAAATAGTGAAGAGTACAGGATGAGTTAGGACCGGATGTGGAGTCTCGTCGCTCTAGGAGAGCCTCTTGTCAGGCGATTTTTGCTGAGATCGCTGCTATGGAGGAGATTTCGTGGCATCAGAAATTTCGGGCATTGTGGCTAAAAGAAGGGGACCGCAATACAAAATTCTTTCACAGGCTTGCTAACGCTCACAGAAGGTGTAATCACATCGGGCGTATCCGTGTGAATGGTTCAGAGCTGTGGACAGAGGATGAGGTGCGTGGAGGAATTGCTTCTTTTTATCAGCAGCTTTACACTGAGATGTTGGGATGGAGACCTAAGCTTGATGGTCTTCAATTTGATACCATTTCTGCGCTGGTTAGTGACAGGCTTGAGGTTCCATTCACTGAAGAGGAAGTGCTTAAGGCGTTATCGAGTTGCAATGGTGATAAAGCTCCGGGGCCAGATGGGTTTACTATGCGGTTTCTTATGGAGAGCTGGGAGGTGGTGCGCAGTGAGGTAATGGGCACCTTTCAGGAATTTCACTCTCATGGCATGTTCGAGAAGTCATTAAACGCATCTTTTATCGCCCTTATTCCTAAGAAGGGCGGCACTTCTGAAATTAAGGACTTTCGGCCAATTAGCTTAGTGGGATGCATGTAGAAGCTTATTGCCAAGGTTCTTGTTCTTAGGATGAGTAATGTATTGGATGGAATTATTTCAATCACAAAATGCTTTTGTTGGTGGACGGCAGATCTTCTGTTCTTATAGCAGGGGAATGTGTAGACTCCAGGTTGAGAAGTGGGGTCCCTGGCATGGTATGCAAACTCGATGTTGAGAAAGCTTACGATCACGTTAATTGGAAGTTCCTCCTTTACTTGCTTTGGAGGATGGGGTTTGGAGATAGGTGGATAAAATGAATCAAAACTTGTATTTCGTCTGTCATGTTCTTTGTACTAATGAACGGATCTCCTGCTGGTTTCTTTGCGAGCTCTTGAGGTTTGAGACAAAGAGACCCCTTGTCATATTTTTTATTCCTTATAGTCATGGAGGGTTTGAGCAGGTTAATGAGGAGAGCAGAGGATTTGGGTTATATCAGGGGTTCAGAGTCGGTAGAGATGTAGCTCATCAGTTGGAGATCTCCCATTTGTTCTTTGCTGATGATACTTTAGTTTTTTGTGATGCCGATGTCTCCCAACTCAAATATTTAAGGTGCATTCTTGTTTGTTTCAAGCGGTTTCTGGGCTTAAGATCAATGTTGGAAAGAGTGTGCTTGTCCCAGTAGGGGATGTTCCAGATATTTCCTCCTTAGCTGCAGTTCTTGGGTCTGGTGTGGGTGTTTTTCCTCTTCCTTATTTGGGATTACCTTTAGGGGTTTCCTCTAAGAGGGCAGGGAGTTGGGATCCAGTGATTAATAGGTATGAGAAGAGGTTAGCAAGATGAAAGAAACAGTATCTTTCGAAGGGGGAAAGGTCACTCTTATTAAGAGTACTCCCTCATCCCTTCCCACTTACTTTTTATCTTTGTTTCAAATCCCATGCTCTGTCGCTAAAAGGATTGAAAAAATTCAATGAGACTTTCTATGGGGTGGAAGGGGAGAGGAGTTCAAGTATCATCTTGTTAACTGGAAGCAAGTTTGCAAGCCTTCGAAGTTAGGCGGTTTAGGCATTTGAAAGTTGGTTCCTTTTAATAGAGCTTTATTGGGAAAGTGGTTATGGAGATTTGAAAGGGAACGACAACGCCAGTGGAGAAGGGTTGTCTCATGTTGTTTTGGGGACGAGAGTGGTAGCTGGTCCTCTCGTCCAATCTCTGTTGCGGGAGGTGTCGGCGTATGGCAATTCATTCGAAAGGGTTGGGATGTCTTTTCCTCACACATTAGATTCAAGGTTAGTGATGGTAAGCGTGTACACTTTTGGGAGGATTTATGGTGTGGAAATCAGTTGTTGTCCCATTCCTTTCCTAGACTTTATAGTATTGCCGAAAATAAGCGCGCTTGCGTAGCTGACTGTTATCATCTTGATAGCAGTGGAGTTACGTGGGATGTGCGTTTTAGGCGTTCTTTTCAGGATTGGGAAATGGAAGAAGAATGTGTTTTTTTGGATCTGTTGTATCAGCAGAAGGATGTTAGTAGAGGTAGTGATGACATTTATGGGTCCCTTCCACCCATGGTAGATATGGTGTTCGGTCCATGTTCTTGTATCTGTCCAATTTCGTTAGTCATGATTTCCCATGGAAAACTATATGGCGCTCTAAGGCTCCACTTAGAGTCGCATTCTTTGTTTGGACTACCACCTAGGGTAAGATTTTGACGTTGGATAATTTGAGAAAGAGAGGCAACACAATTGTTAATTGGTGTTGTCTATGTAAAACAGATGGTAAGTCTGTGGATCACATTCTTATGCATTGTCCTGTGGCGTACGATTATTGGAATCTCATCTTCGGCATTTTTGGAGTTCATTGGGTAATGCCTCAGTCCTCCATAGAACTAATTCACGCGTGGAAAAGATGCCCAGTGAAAGGTCATGCTCGTGACTATTAGAGGATAGTTCCATACTGTGTTTGGTGGTGTATATGGAGAGAGAGAAATAGCATAAATTTCGAAGGAAACGAATCGTCTTTGGCGAACTTAAAAATTCATATTCTCCGTTCTCTTTTCTGTTATGTGAGAGGAAGCGCTTGCTCCTCGACTGAGGACTTAGTTGATCTTTTAGACTCTATTGGTACTTAGGTTAAACTTTCGCTTTTTGTATTAGGGTTGAACGCTTTTCTAATCAACTTTTACTTATCAAAAAAAAAAAATAGTGAAGAGTAATAAAAATAAATGATTTTTTATTTTGTGAGTAAAAGAAATTCACTTGTTCTAAAGCAAAAGGATAAATAAGATAATCATGCCATATTACAAAATTTCATGCAAAATCTTATCTTCCTAAAGTCGAGCTTTCGTTGCATTTCTCTTTTACCACTAACATATAATAAAGTGACATGGCCCTAAATAGAGTGAAAGGGAAAATGTACAGACTACCATTTCAGCAGCCTAAAACAAGACTGGCTATATTCAGACTGAGGACGAATCCTTGGCCATGAGGTATTCAATAGGAATAGAGGCTTGCCTTGGAACTAGTAGTCCTATCTGCTGCTTAATGGCCTCCATCAAAACCCAAATCGAAAGGGCCTCAAACTTTTTAAATACAGTTGTCGCAACGATTTTGGCGAAAACTCACACAGGAATTGAAGATCTTAAGGATTAGTTACACATCCCATGAGCTAATTGGTGGAAGATTTTTTTTTTTTTTGGAGAGGGGGGGGATAATTAATTGATGGAAGAATGTTAGCTAATGCAATTCATTAGATTTCTCTAGTTTTTATTGTTTAAGAAATAAAAAAGATTTACAAAAAAAGGGACCTAATAAACAGGAAGCAAAACACAAATAACCTCCTCTGTTGTGAGATTGCAGGGACATTATTTATGGCATGTAGAATTTTATAAAATATTAAATTTAGGGCGTTTTAATATGTCCTACTTTTATGATTTTATCCATTATTATTTTTCTCTACTTTGTGGCTTTGCAGGGTTTTATTAAAAGGAAATTATTACTTTCCGCAGGGGGAATAGACATCATTGTGGTTTTCTGAATCTATGAAATGATTTATTAAATGAAATAACTAGATTAACCTAATTTCCTAGTGATAAAGTGGAGATATTCATGTAGCAACAAATATTGACTAATACCACAATTACAATTTTGGAGTCCACCGAATTTCCAGCAATATATATATATATATATATGAGCTCAAATCAACAAATATTCCTTTGTCAATGAACCAAAACACCTTTCGCTCATGTGATTCGTCTGTAATCAAACGTCTAAGCAAAACACCTCATGCGACAACTCGTCATACACATTATTAAGAGGCAAAATAATCCAAGGGCTAGCAACACTCTAATTGCAAGAAAAATACAGAGCACCAAACAAACCCCACAGATCTAAGAAAGCCCTAACCCTACTCTTTGCTCGATCAAAAACCAAAGTAAGTCCTGATCCAGATTCAAATTTGACAATGACAGCATTAAACAACGCAGTTTAAACAAATTGCAATTCCACTAAACAATATAGCAATGCCTATTTCACATCTTCAGTCCATCATCAAATATAATAAAAATCCACAAAAAAAAATTAACTGTAACGAACTCAAAACTAAGCATAAGAAACAAAATACGCCAATTTCAAACCTCTAACTGAACAAAAAAAAAACACCCGAAATAGGAAAAAAAATTACAAATATATTTACATAAGCATGTAATAATAATATCTATGTATATTGAAGGTTCGAAGTAGTAGGACCTGGCAAGGGAGAGGCACAGATTGAAGAACTCAACGTCGTCTTTTTTCAGCATACCGCGAACGTACATGGCTAATCGTTCAACGACGGCGAAAATACGAAAAGTGTTCACAAGTG